TGATTAAGGATCTTGTATTATACTCCATAATAAAATTTCTGAATAACTGTGTAGTTGCATCTCTTTAAATAATTGGATAACTTCTTTGTAATAACCAAGCTAAAAAATGTGCCTCAACATATTTATAATTTATAAACACAATATTAAACAACTATTATATAGTAAAATATCTTAGAATATCCAAAATTATTCTAGATATCAAATATCACCCTTCCTAAAATTTCAATATTATAAATAACTTTTGAGTCAAATGATTCTGGATATAAAATCCTTTAAATAACCCTAGAAACACCCTTAAAAATATAACTTTTTAGGTTTGGTGAAAGATGAGTTAATATAATAACTAGAATTAAGATAATACTTAAATTTCAAGAGAATAATCAATGTATCATGATTTCTAGGAAAATTTAATATTATTAACATCATTTTCAATCTAAAGTTGTTATCTTTTTTTCAAGGCAATATTTTGAGAATGATATAGTGAGTTCCAAGTGTAAAAAGTGATCACTTTCAATCACATTAAGCACTTGGACACTACAAAGTATAAAAAGAGTGGATATATAGAAAAATTTAAGGGGAAAAGACCATAAGTAAAAAAAGATTTAATATTATTGTCATTAGAAGAAGTATTATTGCAACTTTCTTCACAAGAAAAAATAAGAGAGAAATGCTTACATAAATTTTTGGAATTAAGTGTTTAACATTCTAAGTGGGCAATCAAGCTATTGAAATATATTAAATGAAGTTTTTAGGATGTTTAAGAGCAATTATGGATTAAAAAAAAATTTATTTGTGCAAACTTAAAATATAATCCATCACAATCTTCCCAAATCTAGATCCAAAAGTATATTTAGAAAAATTACTTTTTTAAGTATCATAGTTTCTATTATAGCTATTACTACCCTTCTCCTATCACCATTGGCTACCATAATGTTATGCATAATAATATAAGTTGTAATATATTTTGATTGTATATAAAGATCACTATGATAAAGTTTTTTATTCACATACCTTCATTACATTTATAGTTGACCAAATGGTTGCTCAATTGTAATTTTAATAAAGTATATGTAGTTGAAGTTGAAAAAGTTAATTATAACAAATTTTGAAGAAGTCCCCAAAATTTATTTGGTAAAAAAGACTATTAATACTCTCATTATAAACAACTTTTGTTTTGAAATTTTTTGTGGCATAAACCTTTTGATCATTTGCAAAATTATGATATTTAGTTTTTAAAGTCTAAAAAACAAGCCTAATTTTCAATAATAGCCTATATTTGCATGTTAAATTGTCATTTATAATCCCTTCACTTTTGTCTATCAAAACTACTTAGAAGTTTAATTTTGGTGTATGTGCAATTAAAAATTTCAACATAATTAAGAAAATTATACTTCACTATCTAAAACTTTTACCCTTTTGTCACCTATAATATATGCTCCCATACTTTTGCTTAAATGCTTTTATAATTTTTTTCATACTTTAATGTAAATTAAGTGGTGGTATCCAAAATTTTCTAAAAATGTAGGTTATATATCCCTTATAATTAACTACTATAAAGATATAGCCACTTGATTCACTATACTATCTGAAATATTGTAAAGACTTTATAAAATATTTTTGTTAAGATTATCTTTCAATAAGTCAGAAAACAATTTGAATGTGAAATTTGAAAATAATTTTTCCATTGACATAATTCAACAACTCTCAATATAAGTGTAGAATAAATGTCATCAATGCAAACTCCATTTCTTGATGTATATATCTCTAATAAACTTGTCCATCATGATTTTAAATAGAATCTCCCCAACTAAAAATCCACTAAAACAACATTGAATTACCATATTTAAAATATGTTGCTGATAAGAGTAAAAGTGGCATCAAAACTATTTAAAGCTATAAAAGAGTGTAGACTTTCTTAATCTTGGATAATGTATTGAATAACAAGTTTATATACCTCCATCACTATTAACTCATTATAAGCTCTTTCCCATTTTTCACATTTAAGTCATTAGTTATTATTGTTAATCTTTTTATCTGACAATATAGCTTATATATCCCTTACACCGTAAAAATATAGCGATTTATTTCATCATAAAGGTTTTTTTACCTGAAGATGTTGCAAAAACTTTATAAAGGATTTATATTGAGATTATTTTCCAGCAAGTCACAAAATAAATCAAATGTGGTTATTGAAACTTAAAAGTAATTTTTTTAGTGACATAAAGAAAATCAAATGTGACTGTTCAAATTTGAAAGTAATTTTTCCAATGACATAGTTCAACATCTGTATAAAATAAATGTTATCAATACAAACTCTATTTTTTTATGTTTACATCTTCAACAACATGATTTTAAATGGAATTTCCCCAACTAAAAGTCTAGTAAAAAATTGTTAAATTACCACATTTGAAAAAGTGTATTGTTGATAAGAAAAGAAATGACATTAAGACTATTTAAAGCCATAAAAGAGTGGAAGTGTATTAAACAACAAGTTTATATATTATTAACAAAGAATGTTGGAAATTATTATAACCTCTTCTTCCTCACTCACACTTAATCACTGTCCATTGTTATTAATCCATTACATTCAATTAGGGTGAATTAAGAACATGCAAGGAAATTAAAAATCTGGATAGTTGAGTATATTGATATCAAAACACCATAACACTGGTTTCATGTGCCATAGACTGATTTATTATGACCTCATTTAGCCTTGAATGAAAATGAACAAAAGAAAAACTTTCCTAAAAGAACTTTCAAATTTACCTTTTAAGGATTTTATTATGTTCTTTGTCTTATTGGATGGTAAAACATATATCCTATCTCAACTCCACTCTCTTGATTTACATAATTTGTAAGCATTAATAAACTCACTATTTGAAAAATATTTGAGAAATTACCACCATCATCTTTGAGATGTTTGTTCTAGATCTGCAGTAATTGCCCATTGATATGAACCTAATGAGCATGTAAAGTGCTCTTTTTTCCTTTGTTGGTCTGAAAAAATTAGCTAAGCCATGAGAAGAAATGAAGAAAAACTCATTACCAAATACTTGAAGATATATGTTGATGAATTCATGTCTTAGAGCTTCAAGCTACATAGATCTCATCGTGGATTAAGAGTGTGTCCTTGAGTTTTGTGGTGTTCATCATTAGTGGTGAGTTCTTCACACACACAGACAGGTCCTTCCCATGTATTGACATGGGCACCAAAATTAACACTCGACTTTATAAATACTAAATGGTGTATAGCTTGTCCAGATCATCCATACTAGTGGCAACACTCTTAAGAATCTCTTAAGAAAAGATGCTGTGGAAGTAGAGGAAAGGAAAACTCTCTATTAGTGATTTTAGGATGCATGTAGTTGTTTCTATGTGAGAGGGGATCAATCTTCTATATTGGCCACAAGACCAAATATCCTTGTTGACCATATCAAGCCCATCCACTTTTTGCAAATTTCATCAACAACGAAAACTAAGTGCTTGCACAATTCCAAGAGAGTTATGTGTATGATGCAGAGCTCGTGTTAACACTAAAAATAGCAAATTTCAGAATTAGTTGACTGAACTCATAGTTGTCAAAGTTAATTTATAAGCTACATTATCACCACAATGTAACTCTGATCACCAAGAAAATGTGGTTAATGCTCAAGAATTTCAATATTACTTTTGACATAGTCAAACTCTCACTTAACAAGCGATATGATGATAATACTTATATCATCTAACAAATGATACCACACATTAATCTCAGCATGTTTAACAAGTGTAATACAACACCCATCTACATTGGAGTGACGGGCTGGTTCAAATGAGCTGGATTTCGAAGCCAAGCATGAATGAATGAGCCCAATGACAAAGCCTGGAATTGGAGCCCAATTTCAATCATGGCATCCAGTGGTTCAATGTGGCAGTCTACTATATGGCCATAAATCTAGGATACTTCTTCAGCACATAAAAACCAAATAGTCTGATGCAATCAGTAATGCAATTCGCTACCATCTCATCTTCTTGCAAAGAAGAGAAATGATGCTTGAACTTGCGGAAAAAGTGGAGTTCATTACCTTTCTCGAAGATGCCACTCATGCAATACAAGAGCAGCGCCACAGCTAAATAACCACATTCTCGATTGTTGCAGCTTTTTCAACCTTTTTTTATTTTTTTAGGTAGCATGAGAAATCCAATACGCAAAACATGAGCCGAAAAGGGTTTAGAACTGGCTGTGGAATATACTGGGGAATGAAAGTGTTTCATAGGGGTAAAAGAAGGAGATGACCCAAACATTTTTCACCAGAACATTGAGTCTAACATTACCTTAAATTCACCTCAACCTTCAAACTTCACAACAAGAACTGTAGAATCTTTGTCTGCAAGATCTAATTCTGAGAGGACCTTTGTTGTTTGAACAACATCATTGCCAACAGCTTCCTTAATGGTTAGAGAGTCTAGTTTCTTGAAGGATAAGGTTGCCATGATCAATATATCTTCTGGTTGTTTCGTTGCCTCCAGTAAATTCATATTGCCATCATCTTTTGGGGTAAGCCACTAAAACATAACAATAAACAATTGATGATAAAACAGGTTTTACTCACCTTCAAACCTTCAGAACACACCAGAGCGACTACAAAAGCGCCAGGCCCACCAACTACTACAGCATTTCCCTTGATAGCAATCACTGTCGAGTGCAACTCTGGAAGCCACTCATCCTCCTTGACAACAGAAACCGTTAACCATAGAGGAAAAATACTTTGAAGTTACCCGAATTGTGTGGATGCTTTCAACTTCATCATCCTTTTCCCAGTCTTTCTCATCCTCTTCAACTTGAATGAGCTCTTGGATCCTGTCCTGTGTCCGTTGCTTCACTCTGAATACATGGATCACAACAAGTCAGTAAAATGGATCCCTAAGGAATCAACCTTGAAGTCCTTTTACCTACAAAAGAGACTTTCAATGGAACATCTCAGGTTTCTGTTGGTGCAAAAAGCTTCTGATAAACACATATTGAACAGCCCCAGCCTGTACAAACAAAGGTCCCTTGCTACTGCGAAACAAAACCCAGATGAGCTTTTGGTGTGAAAGAGAAACGACTGACATGGATGTCTGGCTCCACGATAGCCATCCGATACAATAACGTGGATTTTCTCATCCCCTACTTGCAATTCTTGAAACAAGTTCTGCAGCCATCGCCTTTGAGAACAGCAAACTCAATCAGCAATGCTCACCAGATTGAAAGACAGCTTCTTGTCCATCCTAGCACAAGACAAGCCACCCTGAACATGAATCTGTGGCCCAAACCCGCAATCAAGTGGGTAAAACCGCACGCCCCTTGGCCAATTCACCTCCCGCTGCATACTTGCTCTCCTAGACCGAGTATGGTATTTTGCAGTTCCTGTACTAAAAAGGAAAGAAGGGCTTTATATATACGTATATATAGAAAATCCGGTTATACAGAGCTTAAGGTGGCAATGACTTTTTTTTATACCTAATTCAAGAATAGGTTGTGATCCAAAAATTGAGCTCTTTTTTGTCGAATGATTTGTTTCGAGGCAAGCAATACTTCGTTATGATGGCTCTACGGCAACGAGCGGAGTCTTGATTTATCTTTTTGAAGTATTTGGAAAAAGCTTTTGTTTGTTGGTGTCAGATTATAATCTTTTATTAAACTTTGAATTCTAGGTTCTCTCACATTTTTCACGTGAAGACAGATAGGTGAGAAGATCCAGGAGATCGACAGAGCCGTATTTATTGCCCGCAAAGAACCATGGAATATCTGAAAGTTATCACAAAAAACTAGAAACTTTAGAATCAATAAAACCTAAGAAACAAAAACTTCCACTTGTGTGTTCTTCGAAGGCTACTTCCTGTTCTGTGAGTTGAGAATCTCCACCGCATACATTGAGAGCTCGCGGAGATCCCTTTGCTCGATCTGGAGCTGCTGGAGCATACTTTCCTGGTTTCTCAGCAGCGCTTTGATCTGTTGGCAGATGAACTCCGATCCTTCCGGCCGGTTGAGCATGTTGATCGAGCACCGTGGCGCTGGTTTCGCGTGCCATCGAGACTGATTGATCGTGACTTCGTTCAGCCTGGAATGAAAATCCCGATGAAGAAAAGAAAAACTTTCCTGGAAACTTACCTGTCGAGGATTTTTATCATGTTCCTCGTCTCGGCCGGGTGGTAGAACACGTCCCTGACGCGATCCCGTCTCGACTCCACTCTCTCGACTTGGCCGCATGACTTGCATGCGTTGATAAACTCGCTGTCCGGAGTGCTGGGCGAGATGTTTGAGACTCTCACCACCGTCGTCTTTGGGACGTCTGCTCTGGAGATCCGCACTAACTGCCCGTTGATATGGACCCAGTGAGCACTCAAAGCGCTCTCTTTTCCTTCGTCGGTCTGGATAATAGATAGCCGTGAGACGGAAAGAGGAAAAGAAACGAAGAAAAACTCATTACCAGATACTCGAAGACATACGTCGATGAATTCATGTCCCGGTGCTTCAAGTAAGTTGCGTAGATCTCGCCATGGATCGCGAGCGCATCCCTGAGCTGCGTGACGTTCGTCGTCGGTGGTAAGTTCTCCACACATACGGAGAGGTCCTTCCTCATCTTCTGCGGGTCGCCAAGAGGTGGAATCGGCGAAACAAATCCTCCATTTTCGTTTCTCGGTGGAAGCGGTCTCGGCGGCTGCTGCATCTGTGGCGGCGGTGGTGGCGGCATGTCCATCCTTGGAGGAGGCATATCGTTCCTCGGGAATGGCGTATCCATTCGAGGAGGCATATCGTTCCTTGGTGGGAAGTCGTTCCTCGGTGGCATTTGCATGTCGTTCCTGGGTGGCGGCATCATTTCGTTCTTTTGAAATCCCATCCCTTTCGGCTTGAAGTCTGGCCTTTCACCAACAGCTCCTCCTGCTTTGTTCATATTCATCATCCCTGGCTGGCTGAACCGAGGAGCGTCCTGGCCGTTCCAAACTCTCGGTGTTTGAGACATCTGGTTCTTTGCGTTTTCTGTGTTTGGAGGAACCATGGATACGACTTTGGAGACCAGGTTGTCGATGAGTCCGCCCCCAGCAGGTTGAGGCTCTTTGATTTTCGGTGCAACGTCTGAAAGCTGCGTGTTTTGTGTCGGTGCTGCCTCTGTCTCCACCTTGTTCCCAAGAATTACAACGTTCTTCCTTAGAGCATTGCTCAAACCATCCGCAGTCTGCAAATAAGAACGGAAGCGTTAGACAACGAGAAGAAATCAACTTCGAACGTACTCACCTTGAAATCAATGAAACCGTACGTAAACTTTGCAGTGGGTTTCATTGGCTTGACCGCTGAGACTCTGGTTATCTCTCCACAGTCTCCAAAGGCCTGCTTTAGATCCTCCTCCGTTGCCGCCGGATTGAGAAACCTGACGAACATTCCATGCCGAGGAGGAAGAATTCTCGCTGCGAAACTTGGCCGCTTGATTTCTTTCTCCTCCGTTTCGGACGTAGCAGACTCGGCAGCCGCTGCAGTCTCTTCTTTTTTTCGTTCGGTGCCGAGGCTTTTCAACCTCGACAGAATGTCGATGTAGGTGCTGTTGATTTCACCAGGAGTTTCGCCAGCAGCCCTTTTCAGGCTCGTTATCTTCTCTTCAGGAGCACTGCTGGATGGCGGAGGAGCAGTAGAAGTTTTCTCTTCCAAAACTTCCTCTTCTTCTTCCGACTCGTCTTCCTCTTCGGATTCGCTCCCTGCAGCTGCTGCCGGACTCGACGCTTTCGCAACGTTCGGAGGCTCGACTTTCGGTAATGGTTCTTCTGTCGACGGCGTAGCAGTGACTTCCACTTTCACCGTTATACTGCTTTGAAGGTCTGCAAGGATGTCCTTCACCACGGCTCGCGAGCCACCCGTCTCCTTCAGGACGAGAGCCAGAGTTGGAAACTCTCCATTGTTCTCCGACGCATACCTGAAAAAATCAAAACGTTAAGAGGCATTCGTTCGCTGGTCTCCAGAAAGCTTACTTTTCCACGAATGACTTGACTAGTGCTGCACGCTCGTCTCGCGAGAGCCTCTTCTTCGTGAGCTCGGGTGGCTCCTCCACTGCTGCGGGTCTTGCAAAGGATTTCTCAGTGTGCTTTCTCCATGATACCTGCACAGCTGCAAGTTTCCACCATAGCTTAAAACAAAAAAAAGAGAACTTCCAAGACAAATGTAAGAGAAGACACATCTAAATCGTCGCTGGAGGCCGAAGAACTAAATTCCAATCTCGCCCAACATGAGAACTCACTCCCAATCGCAAGAAAACAAATCTAAGAAACCACACCAATCCAATGCAGCATCAAAAACCCCACGAATCGAGATCCTATACAGAGCAAACAAACTCACGTAATCTGCTGGAGAGATTGCTGGACTCCCTGGAAAGCCCAGCGTGCGCGGCGAAGCTCCTCTTCGAGACCGCCGACACCAGAACCCTGGATCCCACGGATTCGCGAAGAAGAGCGGGCATTCTGGCTGCCAGGACTCGCGCCATGGCCAGGCGCCGGTATTCCACTGCCGCGGCGGAGAGAGAGGCGCCACAGGCGAGGCTGCGCGGCGACACAACCATGGCCAATGCCACCATTTCGACCATCAAGCACAAAAACCCTAAACCCTCCCCATTAGATATTTTTCTTTTCCAAGGGTGTGTTCTTAGCTAGTTAGGAGAGAGACGGCCGCGCGCGCTCTTCATAGCGATCAAGAGGATAAGTCTTCATAAATCGAGAATTCTTCGTAGATTTCGAGCATTCTTTCTCACAAGCTGCTAGCGATCATCAGAATTCCTAAATTTCAAGAGCATTCTTTCTTCTATCGATCATATTTCTTCCTCGCGCCCAGTTCTAACGTGTTCTTCACAGCAATCTAGTGGATAGCCAATGCTTTCGAGCATTCTTGCGATCTAGTGGATAGCCAATGCTTCTTCGTACATTTCGCGCATTCTTTCCCACAATTTCTCTTCGTCTACCTCCGAAGAGCGATCAGTGGACTGGAGTCTCGGTTTCAAGGTAGGGACTCTCGATTTCTCGCAGAAATTCCATCTAACTTCGAAGAACATCCAGGGGATTGTATGGCCTGCGCGGCACACATTGCGCAGCTCCTAAAGTCTTGCAAAGCTTCCCGGGATCTCTCCGAGGCACGGCGTCTTGACGCTCGCATAGCGGCTTCTCGCGAGCTCCAGCACGACAGGTACCTCTTGAATCTCCTCGTCGAGGCCTATGGCAAGTGTGGTAGCACCCGAGACGCTTGCGCGGTCTTTGACAGGATCCAAGCTCCAAACCACTTCTCCTGGAACATCATGCTCGACGTCTACGCTCGAAACGGGAAGCTTTGCGAGGCCAGGGAAGTGTTCGACCAGATGCCCAGCAAGGACGCCATCTCCTGGAACACCATGCTCTCGGCGTATGCCCGGCAGGATCATACACTCCAAGCGCAAGAACTCTTCGCCAAGATGCCGCAAAAGGACGTCGTCTCTTGGAACTCCATGCTCACTCTCTACGCCAGCAGCGGCCAGCCCCTCCATGCGAAGCTCCTCTTCGAGAGAATGCCGCTCCAGAGCGAAGCCACTGTCACGGTGATGATCCAAGTCTTCTCGCAGCTAAGTTTGATCGAAGACGCGAGGAGGGTCTTCGAAAGCATCCCCGAGAAGACCCCGATTCTCTGGAACGCGATGATCATGGCCTATTCGCGGAGCGGCAATGCGAAAGAAGCCGCCACCTTGTTTCAACAGATGCCCAACAAGGATATAGTTTCATGGAATTCCTTGCTCACTTCCCTCGTCCAGGAAGGATGCCTGGACGATGCCAGGAAAATCTTTGATGCCATGCCCGATACCAGCATTGTCTCGTGGAATCTCATGGTGGCCGCGTACTCACAACTTGGTCACGTAGACGAGGCCGTCACCTTGTTCGAGACAATGCCGTACAAGACCATCGCTGCGAGTACGGCGCTCATACAAGCGTTTTGTCACGAGGGGTTTCTCGACAAGGCGAGAGATTTGTACGAGAGTTTCCCGGAGGAGAATCTCCAGGCATCGAATTCGATGCTCCTGGGATATGCCCATTCTGGGTATATGGACGAAGCCAGCGCCCTCCTTGCTCGGATGTCTGTGAGGGATGTAGATTCCTGGAACATTATGATCCTGGGATATGCCCGGGATGGGCATCTCCGCGAGGCCGAGTGTGTGTTCGAAAACATGCCGGAGAAGTCCGTCTCGTCGTGGAACTCGATGATCACGTCGTATGCCCGGAATGGGTATATAGCGGAAGCTAGAGCGGTGTTTGATTCCATGGTGAGGAGGGACGTAGTGTCTTGGAACGCGATCATCCAAGCCTACATTCTTGCAGAAGATCTCGCGAAAGCCGAGGATCTCTTCTGTACAGCCCCTGAAAAGAATACCGTGACTTGGACTTCGATGATCCAAGCTTATGCTCGCAACAACGAGATTGCAAAGTCTAGAGGGCTTTTCGAGGCAATGCCACGCAAGGATTTGATCGCGTGGAGGGTGATGCTCACGGGATATGCCCAAAACGGGCATCCAGACGAAGCCATGGAGCTCTTTGCGAGAATCCCTCACAAGAGCTCGAGTTTGTGGAACACTATGATCGGGGTCTACTATACGGCAGGAAGAATCTCCCAAGCCAGAAACATATTCGAGAGCATCAATCCAAAACCAAGCATTTGCTGGAGCACCCTTACCGCAGCATATGCCCGTTCTGGTCATGTGCTGCAGGCAGCAGAATTGTTCCACCAACATCCCAGCCCGGATCTCGAAACTTTCATCACTATGATCACAGCGTACGGAAAGTCTGGCCTAGTAGAAGATGCCAAAAGAATCTTTTACGCCATCAAGGAGCCAAACCCAATGGCCTGGAATGCGCTCTTCGCGGCATATGCCCAGAACAGCCACCTTGCCAGCGCGAGATTCCTCTTCGATACCCTTCCCCGCCGCGACGCCGTGTCGTGGACAGCGATGGTGGGCGCGTATGCCCACAGCGGGCATAGCGGCCTGGCTTGCGAGCTCTTCCAAGAAATGGAGATCCACGGCGTGGCACCCGATGGGATCACTTTCATCGCGCTCCTGGGCGCTTGCAGCCACCTGGGCAGGATCAAGCACGCGGGCAGCTACCTCAATTCCTTCCCGGAGCGAGAAATCGCCCCAATTGTGGATCACTACCAATGCATTGTCGACGGCCTCGCGAGATCCGGGCAGCTGGAACAAGCCCGGGATTTGATCCGGGAAATGCCGTTCGAGCCGATCGCGGCGGCGTGGACATCGCTGCTTGGCGCGAGCAAATTCCATGGGGAGCTTCTTGCCCTAATTCCCGGGCTTGGTTTCTAGGGCTGACGTGTTGGGGGTTTCACAACGAACGGACGTCCGTACGGTGCTTCCTCGTACCTCTCTCTCCTAGGGCACAGGGTTTCCGTGCTCTCGAAGCGCGCAGCATGCGAGCGATCGATCGATCGATTGGATTCCTGCGAGCGCAATGGTTTGTTTCGATCCTTTCGTGAGTGGGCGTTTAGATTCGTGAGCAAGGGTTTTTTTCTTGTGAGAGAAAGAGATCGGGCATTGTGGTGTCAAAGTTTTGGAAGAATGTAGCGCGTTGTGTAGAGAGAATCCGGCCGCTTTTGGAAATGTGAGAAACTTTGTGGAGATTTTTGGGGAATGTGGGTGAGAGAAGAAACATTGACACAGTAATGGTTTTCGTTCTTTTTTCCCTTTCTTCTTTCTTATCAGAGGTCTAGTTTGAGGGAGAAAACAGTGTGAAGAACGAGTAAGACGAACGAAAGAAGAAGAAGAAATAGAGGAGAGACGATGGAGAAGTGATGTAGCCACTGTTTCCATGACGACGTCTCCGAGAACAATGAGTAGCGATCCGGAGGATTCGAGTTGCTATTCTTCGCCTTACGAGACCAACAGATATCAGTCACCGAGCGAGAGAAGAAATGTGGCAGTCGATCAGGGAGGAGTTTCTTACGTGTTTGAGCCGTTCATGGAGACCAGCTTGGCAATGGAGAAGCCGGACGTTGTGGGGATTGGTGGAGGTGCTTGGTTGCCTCCGACTGCCCCAGTGGAGCCACCCCGGCCTCAGACGTGTCCCCCGCTCGAGTTCCAGCTTCCAAAGCGACTTATCATTGCTGCTCGCGACAAGGAATCGCTGCTGGAGGAGGTGATCACGTTGAAAACCGAGCTCCAGCACCAGAATCGCAAGATTGCTGCTCAGAGGATTCAAGCCTCGACGGTAGAGAACGAGAACAGGTCAGTATCTTCTTCTCGTATTTGCTAGCTTTGTTCTATAGAAAGTGCTGCTTGTTTTTGTCTGTAGGAAACTTGAAAAAGATCTTGAGGATTTGGAGCTGCAACGAACTGATGCTCGCAGAACTGGCGGCCCTGAGAGGTTACGTAGCAAAGTTTATGGTATAGCTCTTATCTTTTCCATTTCAAATGTTAAACCAGAGAGAAGTGCAGGATTGAAAACTAGACTAGAAGATCTTCACATGGTTTGTGAAGAACAACGCGATGAGCTTTTCACACTGAGGAGAGATGTTCGCCTAACGCGCTCCAGAGTAAGAGCATAGCAGCACTTTGTTTGCCAGGGATTTTCTAATGTGTTTCTAGAATGCCAGGAACTGGAGGTTGAAAGAAATGTGTTTGCCGATGAAATTATCAGGCTGCTGAAATACATGAAGCGCTTGAAAGCGGGGCAGAACAAGCTGAGTTGTGAGAACAGAGAACTCGCGCTTGTGAAGGACAAAGCAGTACTATTGGAGATTGCAAACAAGCGTCTCGAGAGCTGTCTAACAGTAAGCTTCTTCTTTTGCAAGACAATTTTCACAGGCTTGGCTTTGCTGCAGGCGATTCACAAGAATCTAGAGAAAACGAAGCAAGAAACTGCTGCGTTCAAGCAAAAGGCACTGGAAACGAGCAATTCCAACAAGGCGGACGAGAAGAGACGGAGGGAGCTGGAAGACAAGGCAGCAAAGCTAACCGAGCAGCTAGACACCGAAACAGCCGAGAAGGAAAAGTGGGTCAGGAAAGCTAGCAAACTGGAGAACGAGATCAGGAAGCTCTCCAAAGAGCTACGTGAGGCCGAGGCAGCCAAGGCCAAGTTCGAGCTACTCAACACTTCCAAAAGCCCGCCAACTCCTCCTCCACCAGCTGCGAAGAAGGCTGCAACTGCTCCTGCAGCTCCACCATCGCCTCCACCGCCAGCAGCTGGAAAGAAGGCTGCTGCTTCTCCAGCAGCTCCACCATCGCCTCCACCGCCAGCAGCTGGAAAGAAGGCTGCTGCTTCTCCCGCAGCTCCACCATCGCCTCCTCAAGCAGGAAAGAAGGTTGCTGCCGCTCCAGCAGCTCCAGCATCACCTCCAGTGGCAGCCAAGAAGGCTCCTGTCACTCCGGACAAATCTGCCAAGGTATGGTGAAACACTCAAGTCAAGGACCAAACAAGAGTCCTAGAAATGGCTACCACACGGATCATAAGTCGACAGTCGGGATCCCCAAGCAGGGACCAGGTGGTCTAAGGACAAGGCCGTAAAAGCTCGGGTCACTCATTCATCCGTCTTGAATGCACAGACGAAGCCCGGTGGTGACGAAACTAGAGGGAAGTCAGCGGCAAACGAAGCGTCTCTCAGAGGTAGCTTTTGTTTTAACACCGTCGCGTATGCTTCACCTTTTTCATTCTTTTTGGCAGAGGCAGAAGAAGATACAAAGCGCAAGGCAGCCGAAGCGTTGCGCAGGAAACAAGAGGAAGAGATGCAGAGGAAGCAAGAGGAAGAGCAACGGAGGAAAGAGGAGGCAAGAAAGAAAGCGGCAGCTGAAGCACAGGCAAAGAGCAGAGCGGCAGCTGGAAACGACGCAAAGAAGAAAGGTGGCGAAACTCAGAAAAATGATGAAGACAAAAAGAAGAAAAGTGATTTGGCTGGAGAAGGAGGTGGTGGTAGAGAAGATAAAGACGCAGGTGGAGAGGCTGAAGAAGAGGCAAAGAGAAAAGCATTGGCAGCTGCTGAGAAAGAAGCAAGGAGGAAAAGATTGTTAGCTGAAGAAGACGAAGAAGCAAGGAGGAAAAAATTGTTAGCTGAAGAAGAAGAAGCACGGAGGAAGAGACTGTTAGCCGAAGAAGAAGAAGAAGCAAAGAGGAAGAGACTGTTAACGGAAGAAGAAGAAGCAAGGAGGAAGAGACTGTTAGCCGAAGAAGAAGAAGAAGCAAAGAGGAAGAGACTGTTAACGGAAGAAGAAGAAGCAAGGAGGAAGAGACTGTTAGCCGAAGAAGAAGAAGAAGCAAAGAGGAAGAGACTGTTAACGGAAGAAGAAGAAGCAAGGAGGAAGAGACTGTTAACGGAAGAAGAAGAAGCAAGGAGGAAGAGACTGTTAGCCGAAGAAGAAGAAGAAGAAGCAAGGAGAAAGAGACTGTTAGCTGAAGAAGGAGAAGCCAGGAAGAAAGGTGGAATAACTGGAGCCGGGGACGAGGAAGAAGCAAGGAGGAAGGCTGCGGCCGAAGCAGAAGCAAAACGACTCGAAGAGGAACTGGCCGAACAGAAAAGACGGCTAAAACAGCGTGAGCAAGAACTGGCCGAGCAAAAACAAAGTGTGGGAAGCAATGACGAGGGAAAGAAGCTTAACGAAGACGAGGAGCGAAGGAAAGCGGTCGAGGGTCTCCGTATCAAGGAAGAGGAAGAGAGAAGGCTGAGGGAGGAAGAGGAAGCGAAGAAGAAGCGAGCTCAAGAGGAGGAGATGAAGAGAAGAATGGAAGAGGAAGAGCGCAAGAGGAAGGAGGGCGAGGAAGAGCTGAGGAGGAAGCGGGAGGAGGAGGAACGAAAGCACAGGGAGGAGGAAGCGCGCAGAAGGAAACACCAGGAGGAAGAACGGGAGAGAAAACGCAGAGAGGCCGAGGAAGAAGAAGCTCGCAAGAGGAGAATCCAGGAAGAAGAGGAGAGGAAACGCAGGGAAGCCGAGAAGAAGAGGCTGGACGATGAGGAAAGAGCGAGAAAGGAGGAGGACGCAGTGGCTAGAAAGGCCGAGGAGGATCGCAAGAACGCGGCTGGAGGAGGAAGGCCGAGGATCAGAGTTTTCAAGGCGAGAGGGACGACCTTTGCCGAGGACACCAAGCAGGTGGTGGACAGAGGAGCTCCAACGTTTGAAGGGAGGTCGCGGAAGAACTTTGGTACGGCTTACATGGCTCCAGCGCCAGCGTCTCCAGCGTCGTCGTCCACGACCGAGAGTAGCAGCAGCGCAAGGAGGACCACCTTGCGTGTGGATCCAAAGTCCGGAGGCGACCCCTTGGAGTAGACTCTGTGCGATCGTTTGCGAGTCGAGCTTTTCTATCTGCGGGGTGGCCGAAGGCTGTGCTGTGGACGAAGGAAAAAGAATGTTACCAAAAACTTTGCTTTAAAAACGAAAGCTTACCACCAGTGTTCTTCATGGATCATACTCCCGGAGGCAGTGTCCTGGAAGTAAAAACTTAAACTTGTGAGCGTTTCGCAGCAACCACAGCGGCAAATGGACTGCTGCGTGAGATCTCGCGGCGTTTCCCATCTTGGCTACCAGCTCTTTGAACGTGTACTCCTCCGGAAGGAGGCCAAACAGGTCCCTGCCTTTACAAACCGCGTCCTGGATTCTTATCTCGGCGTCCACCGAGCCGAGGCGCGAGGCTTTCAGCCGGTCTGCGTGGCTGTAGGCTCTGATCTTGAACAGGATCTCACTGACGTGTCTGAAACAGAAGCTGCAGTGCCACCCTGCGTCTGCGAGTATGAAATCTGACCTTCGGAAGTGGCCATACTTGGTGGCGCCCGGCTGATACAAATGCACGCACGGCCTCCAAGCTTTCTCGTCCACCAGGAACTCGAACGAGTAGAGATAGTTTCTCATTTGGAGGTGCATGGGAGAAGGAAATCCATCGCACCATCTGCACAAGGAAACTAGCACTGATCAAACTCACGCATCACAAAGCCGACAGCCAAACTATAAACTATTCTCGAAAGTTTGGAAACTCACAGACATCACCTAGACCAACACAGCCAAAACACGACTGTGCCAACGAAGAACACTACGACCAAGACAGACAAGTGAAAAAGACACTAAAACAAAACTCTACCTTAGCAGCTCCAGCGTGTGCCAACTCGGGATCTCATCAGCATCTGACATGATAACGATGTCTCCTTCTTCAATCCCCGCAGCCACCAGCGCTCGATCCATTTGCTGTCGCTGGAACACCTCCGTCGTGAAAGGACTCTCATTCTCCAGCAAAGGCCTCGTCCAGATCTCCCGGTAGAACAGCTTCGAGGCCGCAAACAAGAACCTGTAGCTGTTTTTCGCGAAGAAGAGCGGCTTGGCCAGACCTGTGAAAGTACCATTTGCTTCCAGGAGCACGAACTTGGTCACGAAAGGATACAATTCTCTCCACCGGATCTCCAGTAGGTCGAGCTCGTTGCTAAAGATGATGGCGTCAAAGACACGGCGAGGGGTCTCTCTCACTTCCCAGTTGTGTAATTCGCACAGATCCGAGCGGGAGAGGTTGTGAGCGAAGTAGTGAGTGATGAAGTCGAATGGCTTCGGTGGTGTGTCCCAGACGGGCCTGAGAAAGTATGATAAGCTCAAGAAATTGGAGTAGCCAGCGTGAAGGCAGAGGATCAACACGAGTACCAAAGCGGCCGCTAAGATTTTTCTCCCTCGTGGCTTTCTCGAGAGCATCCTTTTCTTCCGGACCGATGATTCGTGCACTGCTTCGTGGGAATGGAAGGAACCAAGTGAGAAACGAGGGAGAGAGAAGGAGTGCGAGAGAGTCACTCTCTTGCAAAGGAATCTTGTAAGTACCTGGCGATTGGCCTTTGTCTGACCACTACAGCCATCGCTGGAGCAAAAGTTACTCAAAGTTACTCTGGGAAGAAAAGAGAGAGAGAGAGAGAGAGAGAGAGAGAGGGAGCTGTCAGTATAAACTATGAGATGATCTTAAACAATGGAGAGCTATGGACTTACTCCCGAGTGATCTTAATCGCTGGAGCAGTCCCAGATATAAAACTCCCTCGATTGTCGTGGCATCTAAAGCTCTGACGAAATACATGGATAAGTGGACCTCGACAAAAGAAAAGATAGAGAACCTAGCAACGAAAGAACAATGGCGAAGAACGCTTGAGATCTTCTCCAAGAATGGAGGAACTACACGATAGTAGCACTGACCTCTGAGAGTGATGTCACGACTTTGGCGAAGTCGTGCTTGAATCTTCCACCCGAAATCCACGCGCCAGCGCTTTCCAAAGCTAGGGTTCTTAGCAGCTTCCTGGCGCCGGCAATCGTAGAAATGCGTGACACTACTTCTCGATTCTTCGCACAAGCGCGTTGGCGGCATCGATAAGTATGCATCGATCGCCAAGGCAAAGGAGGAGCTGCTACTCGCATGGATGCGCCGACAATCCCACAAGGAATCGCGAAGAAAGCAAGAATGAGGGCGAGGGATTCCATCGCGCCGTGCTCGCTCCATTTGCCCCATCTCATGGACTATGGATGGCACTGCCAGCCCCTCCTCACTCCATCTCCATCGCCAAGCTGCCCAAGAGCCCTAAATTTGCGTGGTAGGAAAGAAGAGGAGAGAGAGCTTTGGAATGTCTTCCAGGAATTCGATAGCAACCGCGACGGTCTGATTTGCAAGGGCGACATCGCACAGATGATGCTGCGGCTGGATCGCAGCCTCTCGGATCGCGACGTGGCCGCCACGCTCGAGGCGATCGACGAGGACGGCGACGGATTCGTAGATTTCGGGGAGTTTTGCTCCATCTTCCACGGTCGCAGGGATATTCTGGACGGAGAGGAAGCGCCGGATTGCGAGGGCGAAGATCAAGAGGAAGAAGATCTGATGGAGGCTTTCAGGGTCTTCGACCGCGACAACGATGGATTCATCACGGTGGAGGAGCTCCACACGGTTCTCGCCAGGCTAGGATTCGTGGAGGAGCATGGCGGCCGCCCCAGTTGCTCCAGGATGATCCGGATGGTGGATTCCAACGGCGATGGCCTGGTCGATTTCCTCGAATTCAAGAGAATGATGTGTAAGCCCATGATCGCTGCTCATTAGAGATCTATAGATCGTGTAAATACATTCTTTCTAGCTTGATCGATCTCATCTATCGACTCATTTACTAATCAAATGTACTGCGCAGCACAAGCCGGGTCGCGCGGCACACACTAGTAACCGCGCGGTACAAACGCGAGAAATTGGAAGAGCCCTAATACGCTTAAATTTGAAAGCTTTTTTTTCGCACGAATTCTAACACCACCTAAACCCTAAACCGTCCGAGTCGCTAAAAGTAATGTACTCCGTTGTAGTCTAGTCGGTCAGGATACTCGGCTCTCACCCGAGAGACCCGGGTTCAATTCCCGGCAACGGAATTTTTGGCAAAAATTTTGGTAAACGAAACAAGCCGAGCAAGAGGGAGAGAGAAGAAAGGAGACCCGCGAGATCGATTCCAGTCCAGGGGTCACCAGGGATGTTTGTGCTCGGGCTCCGAGTCTCCTGGTTCACCGAGGACTTCGTGGAGTTGATTCTCAAGGTACGTACACGGACGCGTGTTGTTTGATTTCATGCCGACTGCAGTTAGCGCCATGGAAAACCAAGTTAGAGTTTGATCATAGCGGCCAACTAACGATTCAGCCACTGTGATCGATCAAGAGCAGCAAATCCGGATCCTGCCACCATTTTCCAAAAGGCTCTTGGAAATTTTGCGCTATCGTTTCTTGGTTTGCTATTGTGGGCATGCTCTTTTGACTCGTCCGTCACCAAAGATTTCAACAAGATACCTATGATAGGCATATGCAGTTACAACTGCGTTTCACGAGAGAAAACCTTTCTCTGAGATCTTTCGAAGAAGCATCAACCCAATTGTCACGCCACGCATTTTAAATATTTGCGTTAGAAATTTTTAGCACGCAATGCTGCGCCACGGCATCTCCGGAAACAGTTCCTGCAATCGGTTTGGAACCGTTTACAACCTTCGTCAATTCAAACCCATGCGCAGTTGCATTGCCATCCCCACTTGGCATTCATTCCCTCCGCTTCTGTGCTTCTCGATCTCGTTTTCTCCACTCCGGGCGCCTACGTGGTGCAGAAAGCTCTAGAATATTGACCATCTCGTGGCAATATAAGCCCAGCCCTCACTCGTTCCCTCACCCTTGCTTTCTCACTCTAGTGTTCCCTTTTGCGATGTAAGCAATGCTCATTCTATGCTTTCCATCTGGGGCTCCTGGGACTAATGCGTGTTTGTGTCCGTTTGCTTTGTTCAGATATGGTCAATCTCGGCCCCGTTGCCGCAAAGAAACATTATGAGGAACGTTGTAATCCGGAATGGGAAGAGGATCCTCCGCAAATCTTCCCCACGAAAGGAGGACAAGGAGAATTGATGCATGCCGGGAGGGAACTTACGATTGAGCCGCAAGCAGGATCCTGCCACCAAATTTCCAAAAAGCTCGTTGGAAATTTTGCAATGTAGTTGGCTATGGCCTTTTAGTTTTCTATCCATGTGGGCTTTGCATTCTCCTTTGAGTTGTCTACCTGGAGTTGTTTATCATAGCATTTACCATCCCTAAAGATTCAAAAAACATACCAGGGATGGGCATATGCAAACACGACTGCGTTCCATAAGAGGCTATATTGCTTTGGGATCCTCAATATGTCCATACTGCTGGCCATGGCAATGGCATCACCAACCGCATGACAGGTAGGAAAAAGGTTGTGGTCTCGTTTGAGAACCGCAAATCTTCCATTGAGAGAAACGAGGAGGAAAACAGTTCCAACAGCAGCGGGACAAAAAGCTTGTCCATGATCTTGAATTATCTCCCGCCACTCTTTCTTGTGGCTGGTGTTGTTCGCATGCTGCGCCCGAAGCGGCCAAATCAGCAGCTTGTAAATTCTGATAATAACACTCCCAATTTCTCTACTGGAAGAAGGAACCGGTCGTGGTGGGCAAGATTTCATTCTGAGCGTTTAGAAACCCACTTCTATACACTCCCTTCCATTCCCAAGCTTCATCCAAGCTTTTCGTTTGGCGCGTGGACCCGGGGAAGGACTCGATCACTTCTCGCAGCACACCTGGGACGGGTGCGTGCATCGCGGCCATCGCACGATGATTTGTGGTCAAACGCTAGCCTGTTTAGCTTGATTTATAGCAAACACAAAGAAGAAACACACCTTCGATATCTCCTCGATTCCTGTAGAGATCCCCACGCTCCTCCAAGTAGTCCATCGTGTCCTCTCCCTGCAAAGGCTTAGCTCTCGATTTCCTCGCAGTTCTAGCCACCTTTCCGAGCTCAATTTCAAGTTGATGGACCTCACACTTCTTGTTGCAATGAACATTCCGGTGGAATGCTAGTCTCCTGCGATGACACCAACAAGCCTCTGTTCGTCCAAGTCCATTCTGTGATCTCCATAGCCTGCTTCGAGTAGAAAGACGGTGATTGTTGCACAAGCTCAGGCACTACATCTGGAGAGCTCGAATTTGCACGAGGAAGGTACTGATGAGGAACGAGAAGCATAGAACTCCTCCTGGCCAGGAATCGATTGGTGGGCTCTTTTCCCACCCATGCGAAGAATCCCTTCGTTTTCAGATTCTGAGCGTTTTAAAAATAAAACACAAACACCAAGCTTTTGATGATTTCAGTGACGAGTCTGTTCGTTTGGTGCGCGGATCCGGTGAAGGCCTCGATCATGGCTTCTCGCAGCATCTGAGACGAGAAAGCTGGGTGTGAGCATCGCGGCCATTGCACAACGATTTGTGGTCAAACGTTAAAAATAAAAAAGCAGAGGCTTCCATTTTCTCCTCCTCGTCAATCAAATCCATCGTCTAGAGCAAGGCCAACCAGCCATCGACTATGATGTTCACTCCCTGAACATCACACGCTCCTCCAAGTACTCCATCGTCTCCTCTCGCCGCTTCGCTCTCAATTTCCTCCCGCGGTTTTACCACCTTACATCTTGCTTGGGAACTTCAAGAGCATCAACTTCACCTGGACTGGACTTGTCTCTATTCTAGCAATTTCGAACTCTCGAATAAGTATAGCTTATTAGTATTGGTACCTCCAACAGCAGCATTCCACTTCAACACCAAGCGTCCAAACTTTGCAGGACAAAACTTATAATCACCACTCAATCTCGTCAACTTTCTAAAGAAGATGTATCTCTGGCTGATGGAGAGGGAGAGTGCCACAAAGATCAACACTCCAATGTTGCAGCTGATTGACAGCGAGCTCTGGGTGATGGTCTGACAGCCAAGCATGCAGTGGAAGATTTCTACACTCCTTCACAAAGACAAATGCAAGATTGTTGTTGTTGTTGCTCTCATTGATGACATTCCATCACAAATCTTTGCTCACGAATTCTGGAGTTTGCATGGAACTGGCTCGGCGCAGCAAGTCATCTATAATACAGATTTTGCCAATTTCAGCCCCCCAAGTTGGAGACCGCTGACAAATGGATCTAGGACAGAATTAGCATTCACTCGCACCATATACTCTCAGGCAAGTCTGGAATCTAACATCACGGCAGAGACAATGACTTCATTAAGCTATGCATGTTTACAATAGAGAATTGTTTCACGAGCACTTCTATGGTAAAAGAAAACCATGTTTTCAGGGTTACATGTGGCACCTTTGACACTGTAGCAGTTTTATGGTTAGTCTTATAGAGTCATGAGAGGTGGTTTTCTTATTAGAACTCGGCAATGTTTTAATGTATGCATCTCCAGGAGGGAGATTCAAGACGGTTTCTGAACAGATATGTGGACTGGACAGATGGGAAGGCGTGTATTGTTTTAGCGATATGGCTGGAGCTGCGGTACTCAAGGTGAGCAAAGAAAAGACATCACTATTGAAGCTTGTCAATATTGAGTCGTTGTCATCAAAGATTTAAACAAGATACCTATGATGGCCATATGCACATACCATCGCGTTTCACGAGAGAAAACATTTCTCTGAGATCTTTCGAAGAAGCATCAACCCAATTGTCATGCCACGCATTTTATATATTTGCGTTAGAAAATTTTAGAACGCAATGCTGCGCCACAGCATCTCCGGAAACAGTTCCTGCAATTGGTTTAGATTCCCACTCTGGGAAAGGGCAATCCAGCGTGGCGAAGGGAGTGATCGCAGTTCTCCAAGAGAACATCTTCCGACTCCTCTCCCAGTTTCCGATAATCGTGACCAGCACGAGATCCTGGCGGGAGCAGTCGCCATTCCGATTATACAGCCGCAAAGTTTTTGAAAGTTTTTTTCCGCGCGAATTCTAGGTGGTCTTATCGTTAAATAAGACTTGCGAAGAGAGGCAACACAAAACTCTGCTCGGGCCATCCCCCTATGCTTCTCGATCTCGGTTTCTCCCCTCCAAAAGAATCTGGCCTACGTGGTGGAGCAGGAAGTTCTAAGCATAACTCTCGGAAGAACAACTTCTATGTCTAGCTCTCCAAGAATCCAAGTCTCTCCTCTATCGACAAATGGAAAGGTTCTCTCAGAAAGTTGGCTCTCCAAGATTCTAGGAAGAACAGTGGCTCATTACTCTTTGGATTACATCGACAAGTTGCTTGGCCCGGAATGGTTTGCAAGCGTATGCATCCATTCCCGCCTCGATACACTTGTCCTCGTACCCCTGGATCGCGTGAGCCGTGAGCCCGATTATCGGCTTGGACCGATACCCGGCTAGTTTCTCTTGGGCTCGGATGCTCCTCGTAGCCTCTAAGCCATCCAAAACTGGCATCTGGACGAACAAGAAACTCAGATCTGGAAGAACGAAAGGGAAGAAAAAACTTACCTGGACGTCCATGAGGATGAGATCGTAGCGATCACGGTCTCTCTCCAGCGCGCTCAAGCACTGCTCGCCATCGCCCACCACTTCCACCGTGGTGCCAAACTTGCGTAGCTGCTGGCACGCCACCTTTTGGTTTATAACGTTGTCCTCGGCGAGCAGGACTCTCATGCCGCGCAGTATGCCAAGGTCCTCCGGCGGTGCCACCGGACCAAGTTGAGTTACTCCGGACACACTGCGCGCCTCCGCTGAAGTGCCGCAAGATGCAGCCGAGTGACGTTGGTTAGCACCGCGCGGCAGGGAGTAGCCGGAGTTTGGAGTTTCTTCGTGTGTCCTGAGCCCATTGGAGTGACACGATGCTTCTTCGGCGGATTGTATCCTGTCCTGGTATTGGATGGACTCTACCTCCTCGATTTCCAGGCTCTTCTTTACTGCTCCTCGATTTGATTCTTGTGTTGCCACTACTCGATCGAAGCAAGCAGCGAAGTAAAATGTGCTGCCTTTGCCGGCTTCGCTCTCGAGCCAGATCCGGCCTCCCATCATCGCCACCAATCTGGAAGAACAAACTTGGAAACGTTGAGAAAGAAAACCATTCGAGACTACATACCTTTCGACAATGCTGAGTCCCAGACCAGTTCCTCCATACAGCCGGGTGATGGAAGTATCGGCCTGAGAGAAAGCTTTGAAAACTTCCTTCTGTTTCTCCTGGCTGATACCAATGCCGGTGTCTTTGACGGAGAACAAAACACACACGGCCTCTTCTTCCCTTCGCTGCGGATCATTCGAGACATGATTCCTGGGACTCACGAGCTTGAGGCTGTTGCTTCCGTCCGAGTGAAGGAATGCTCGAGGGGAGGCTAGCGTGCTGTGGCTGGAGCGTCGTCTCTCCAAGGCTTTGACGTACTCGAGCGCTTGCGAGGTGGAGGAAGTGGCCCTCACGAAGTCGTCCTCGGTGTAGAGTTTCGCGGACAGGAAAACGGAGCCTCGCTGCGTGAACTTGATGGCGTTTCCCACTGCAAGAAAGTAGAAGTTGGCATCAAGACAACATCCAAATCAAAGAATATAAAACGAGCAAGCAAACAAAAAACACGAGAGAGATCAGCTTCACGAAGAACAACCGAGCCAAGAATTCGATGGAAATACCAAAACCTTTGAAGAGCTTTTGATGGAAAATAGAGCTAAAGAAGAGCAATGCAAAACTAAGAAAACCAAAGAACCAGAGAAGATACTCACCAAGATTTAAGATACACTGCTGGAGCCGCCCAGCGTCACCGATAAGTTGCTGTGGAACTTCAGCCGAGACCTCCCACGACATATCCAAGTCCTTTTGCCTGGCACTGACCTGGAAGAAAACTCAAGAAATTATCTTTCACTCGAAAGCTAGAAAACTATGCCGAGAGGAAAAGAGGATCCATGCTCTTACTTGAAGCATTTTCATGGTGGAGCTGAGCAAGTCACAGACGTTAAAGGGGACGTGTTCTAGCTCCAAACGGCCAGCCTCGATCTTGGCAAGGTCGAGAATGGTGTTGACAATGTGGAGGAGCGAGTCGGCCGACTGTGCGACCGTGTCCAGATGTTCACGTTGTTCTTCCGTGAGATTCGTGTCCAAAGCCAACGAGGCCATTCCAATTATCGCATGAATCGGTGTCCTGCGATTCAAAAGCTTGAGTTGACGAACTAAAGTCGGGTAGGAAGAACGAGAAACTTGAAATGTTCTACCTGATTTCGTGACTCATGTTGGCCAGAAACTCCGACTTCGCGCGGCTTGCTTCTTCTGCCGCGGCTTGTGATTCTTGGAGCTCTTTGTTTGCGAGCTCCAGCTCGTTAGTTCGTGCTTGAACCTGCGGAGAAGTCATAAGATATCAACTAGACAAGCTTGCTACTACCTGTAGCTCGAGAGTGGAATTCATCTCGTTAAGTTCTCCTTCCATTTGCTTGCGATCGTGAACTATCGCAGCAAGAGTAATAGCTACTATTGCCAATACGCAAACGAACATTTGCACCTGAAAGAACCAGAGTAAGAACAAAGGATGATCAAAGGAAGCAGAACTTGGAAAGAAGAGAAAACCTGTTTTCACTACACCTGGAGCAAAGAATGGTTGTTGTTCTTACGATAAAGAGGTCCTCGATGCTTGGCAGTGCCAGCGCTCGCGATCACTGCCACGACCAGCACGGCCAGAGGAAGCCCAATGCGATTGAATCGAAACGAGGCCCAGATCACCACCGGGAAAACCAAGTATGACAGCCTCTGGACGAAGCTCAAATCACCAACGAAGAAGATGACGAGCGACAAAACGATGAGCAAGACGAACAAGGCGATGCACTCTCCTGTCCGGACGATGCACTTCCGGATGGATCGAGCGTCGGGAGCTCTCGAGAGGATGAGCGATGGGAGTGGCTGAGGCTTGGACGTCGTCGATAACGATCGAAGTCGCAAGTAACTCTCCGGTGGAGCGCTCTCCATTTCACTCGTCACAGATGATATCCTCGCATCGTTTGCAGAGGTGGTGGCGGTGGTGATGTTTCCATCGTCGACTAGCTTGTCTTTGATTCTCAGCAAATCCAAGAGCTTCCCAGTGACTCCACGCCTCTCGGCTGCTTTGGTTTCTCGATCACCACCCTCGTCGGGAATTTGGATGGAGTGTTGGTGGCTCTCGGGATTCTCTTCCTGGAATCGCTTGCTCCCATACATTTTCCAGAATTGCGAGGCATAGCTTCTGCTGCGTCCCCAGTGGATCGGCGACGTCCCTGGAACGAAGAGGTTCCAGAGGTGGAGGACGCAGGGAGTGTAACACAGGATCGCGGAGAGATCGCCCAACACCCAAGTTGGCCAGATTTCCAGAAACTCGCTCCACTCCGCCAATCCAAACACGGACAAAGAGAGCGCGTTGCCGGTTCCAAAGACGAAGCTGACGAACGGGGCCACGCTGAAGAACCAAAGAGCGTCGTGAAGAGTGTCTACGGTCCGTGCACCTTTCCTCGCTTCCTGGAAGGAAAAAAGATGAGTTTTTTTTGCGCATGCATACGTCAAATCAAGTCCCAGAAGAAGAAGGCACGAACTTGAGAAGGAAAAAATCATCAATGAAGAGGATTTATCGATTCACAGAAGTAAGAAGAATAAAAAACGAGAGAGAAGAGCTCCGCGAACGAAAGAGAAAGAAATCTAAACTCATGGATGAATCGAAGCTGAAAGCCCACGATCGAGAAACACCATCTATCGAAAGGTAGAACAAGAAAAAATCTAACGACGAAAAATATCTATCCAAACTTACGGCGGTGGAAAAAAATCCAAGAACAAGGAAAAAACCAAACAAAGAAAGCCATGGATGATCCAGCGCGAAGTTTACCAGGAAGAACGAAGAAGGAAGCAAGCAAACGCGCTCTACCTGGACTTGGAAGCACATCTTGCTATTGTTGATCTGGGGCGGATGATTGAGCAGCCATCCACAAGTCATGGCCTCGAGCGTGGAGAAGATCGCGCAGCCGCAAGACGCCGGCAAGTAAGCTCGCGGCCGCCGCCCATGGAAGTACCAGACATTGATCCCCAGCGTTCCCAGCAGCAATCCCGCCCAAATCTTGTAGCCCACGATCAAAACCAGCGCTACCATCAATCCCGACGGCGCCCAGATGGGCGATGCCTGCGCTCTCACCACAGATAGCGTATCCGACAGCTTCCCAGTTCCAATGTAGAGCCACATGATCGCGGCATTCACTGCCAGCCAGCGAGAAACCTCGCGCATTTTGGCGCTCCTGGAACGATCTTTCGGCCCCGGGCGGGGAATCTAGCCACTCTAGCTACGACCCAAGTGCGTGATCTTGCCTGGATTGCTGGCGATCGAGGGAATGGGAGGGATGATGATCGTCCATGATTCTTCTTTTTCTTGGTTTTCTTGTTCTTGGATGGAGGTTTTAATTGCGAGAGGAACTTTAATGGCGATCACTCACCTACTTGAGTCGCCGCGGCGGCTGCCAATCTCGGTGTTGGCGATGGCCAAGGATCTCGATTTCTCCTCGCCGGGGCGTGCAAGAAATTGAATCGCCCAGGCGGAGATGGAGATTTTCTAGCGATCCTGGGTTTCTTTCTTTCGCTCGATCGAAATTGGCTTTAGATACTTCCAGAGCCTCTGCCGATCGATCCAAGAGATGGATGGATTGGAAGGAATGGATTGAACGCATCCACTCACTGTTCTTCTAGGCTCGATCTTTCTCTCTTCTTTCTTTTCCATGGTAAAGGTGATGGTCGGCATCTCCAGCTTTGATTAAAGAAAGTAGCCATTCAAGAATGTGTGATGTAGACTGGATCTCCATCCTCACGGAAGAAATATTCTTTTTTCTGCCGTAAAATTTCAAATTTGAGGATATTCTACGCATTTAGAGCTCTAGCTAGGGTTTCGTGGGGCATGGAGACAGGGGCTTGCCGCAGAGCCCCGGATTGCCGGCGAAGTTCTCCGGATCCATGGTGCTCAGCGGCGCTCCATCAGGTATGGCGCCAGTGAGCTGATTGTGGGAGACGTTCAAGTAGCGCAGGCGCTTGAGCGCCAGGAATTCCACTGGAATCTTGCCTGTCAAGCGATTCTGGGCGAGATTCATCCTCTGCAAGCTCGTGAGGTTGGCGAGGCTGCGCGGGATCTCGCCCGCAATCGCGTTGTCGTCCAGGTAGAGCCCCGTGACTTGGGTCAGCTGGCCGAGCTCCGGTGGGATTCTTCCAGTGATGATGTTGGAGCTCAGCCTCATTACTGCGACGCTGTCGGAGTCGTCTTGGATCATCCGGATCTTGGAGAACCAGCTTGGGATGGCTCCTGTGAGGTGGGAATGGTCGAGAGTGAGGAAGGAGACTTGGGAGAGTGTGGTCAGTCCCTCGAGAGCCTGGAAGCTGAGATTGTTGTGCTCCAATCCAAGCGAGTAGAGCACTCCTTTTCCCAAGTTGGACAGGTCCGCTGGTACTCCCGTGAGAACGTTGGAGCTAAAGTCCGAGTATGTCAGCCTGGGGAGAGTTTTTCCAAAGCTGTCTGGGAGTTTTCCTTGGAGTTTGTTGGATTGGAGGAAGAGATTTGTGAGGTTGGAGTTCCGTCCGAGAGCAGCGGGTATAGTTCCGGTGATGGAGTTGAAGGAGAGGTCGATGAGACACGAAGATCCCAGGGGCTGTTGCTTGAGGTTGAGGTTTGCAAACCAGGAAGGTATCGGTCCTTGGAGTTTGCAGCGACTGAGAGAGATGGTTGAGAGCTCCGGGAGTGTTGCCAGTCCAGAGATCGCGTCAAAGCTTCTGATATCGTTGTTGTCCAAGTAGACAGCGTTCAAGTTGACGAGTTTGGCCATGTTGGTGGGAAGTCCAGTGAGGTTGTTCATCGAAAGCTGGAGGACTGTGAGATTCTTGAGGCCTCGAGCAAATCCTTCTGGAACTCGACCGGTCAGCAGGTTTTCGGAGGCCCAAAAGACTTCAAGACTGGAAAGAAGTCCCAGAGACTCAGGAATGCTGCCGCTCAATGAGTTGGACGTAACGTCGAGTTTGACAAGTCTGCTAAGCTGGCCGAGAGAGCTCGGTATTTGTCCCGTAAGCCCAATGCTGGAGACCGAAAGCTCTTTCAGGGAAGAGAGCTGGCCGAAGGAGCTGGGAATGGGACCACGCATACCTGCGTTTTGAGACAGCTCCAACACTTTTAGCTTCTTCAGGTTTCCAAGCGTGTCGGGGATTCGTCCTGCGGCTTTGGTGCCTGAGATTCTCAGCGTTTCCAAGCTGGTAAGCTTTCCAAGCTCAACAGGTATACTACTGCTGACGAGCGTGTTGGAAATGTCCAGGAAACGCAGCTTGGGGAGGTTGCCGAGAGATGGAGGAATGGAACCAGAAAACTTGGTACCACTCAAGTCGAGATACTCCAGGTTTTGAAGGCTGCCTAGAAACGCCGGTATGGACCCTGTGAGCCGGAAGCCGTCCGAGAGATCGAGCGTTTGAAGATTTTTCAGTTTACTCAAGGACGAAGGAATGGAGCCCGTGAACCAGCTTCCTTGGAGATTTAAGACAGTGAGATTCTTGAGGTTGGCGAGGAACGAAGGAATGCTGCCGGCAGACGCATCAGCTCTTTCCAGGATGAGCTTCCTCAAGCTGGTAAGTTTTCCAATAACCGATGGAAACGGTCCTTCGAATCTGTAACCTGACAGATCCAGCGTTCGCAGCGTGGATGCGAGCTGAGCAAGCGACGCTGGCAGTGCTCCGGAGAAGAAGTTGCTGCCCAAGTCGAGAACCTCCAGCCGAAGTAGCTTACCGAAGGTGGAAGGTATCGAACCGTCCATGCTATTGCCGTGGACGTTGAGCGTACGGAGGTGGGAGAGGCTTCCCAGCTCCGGAGACAGCGTACCTGTTAATCCCAGGGACTCCAGCTTGAGCTCGCTCACCCGGCCGCTAGCTCCATCGCATTTGATACCAGACCATTCGCAGCAACTGGATTGCCGGCTCCAAGTGGTAAGTAGCTTGCTTCGATCTTGGTCGGCGTCCTTGAAAGCCAGCAGTGCCTTTTCATCTTCACTGTTGCAGGACGCCGCGGTGGTGTGGTGGGCGAGCAGTGAAACTGTCAAAACAACGAGGAAAGACGTGCTTGTTCTAGACATTGCGACTAAAACCATGGAACAGTGGCGAGGTAAAGTCGCTTGTTGTTTCGTAGGTACTTCTTTGTACTGATCTTATCTACAGAGATGGGGAGTTCTTAATTGCTGTCGGTGTCAGCCACCGTTTTGGACTTCGTTCATGATGAAAGTACTTGTATTTTTTTAGTGGTCTACTCAAGCGTATTGTCGCTTTGGCCGAGTGGTTAAGGCGTGTGCCTGCTAAGTACATGGGGTTTCCCCGCGAGAGTTCGAATCTCTCAGGCGACGCAAATCTTTTGATGTCATGGCTCTGGGACACAAGCCGTTAATTTAGGGTTCTTCCTTTTCATGTCTTAAAGTGGCGATGGCGCGGCAAGCCCGGGAATGGGGTACTTCTCCGACGCGGAGTTGGCTGCCCTCGCTCGATCTGCCACCGATCTGTCACAGGCCAAGCGCGCCCATCTCGCCATTCTCAAGAGTTCGCGCTCGTCAACTAGCCTTTTCCTTAAAAACCATCTTGTCGACATGTACGCAAAATGTGGCAGCCTCCATGACGCCAAGGCCGTCTTCGATTCCATCTATGCGCCGAATCTCCACTCCTGGAACATCCTTCTTGCAGCATATGCCGCAAATGGGCATCTTTTTTATACGAAGCGTGTCTTTGATGGTATGGTCCAGCGGGACGTGGTAACGTGGACAACCATGGTCAAGGCATATTCCGAGAGTGGTTTCTTAGATATGGCCAGGCTAATGTTTGAAAGAATGCCACAGCGGAACGCAGTGTCTTGGAACGTTGTAATAACTGCGTATGCCCAATCAGGGCATATGGAAGAAGCTGAGACTCTCTTCAAAATGATACCTCAAAGGAACGTTGTAACATGGACTACCATGGTGGCGGGCTATGCACAAAACGGAAATTTACCAAAAGCAAGATACACTTTTGACATGGCGCCGGTTAAAAACCTTGTGACGTGGAATACCATGGTAGCAGCATATGCCCAATGTGGGCAGATTGAGCATGCGAGACAGGTGTTTGATTCCATAGTCGATCGTGACGAAATCTCGTGGACCATTATGATCCAGGCATATTCTTTGCTTGGCTACGTAGACGAGGCCGTGAGATTCTTTCACAGAATGACAAGCCGAGACAGGGTCGCTTGGACTACCATGGTACAGGTATATGCGCAGAATGGTTACTATGGCGAGGCAAAGTGGGTGTTTGACTCCATGCCAAATCGCGACGTGGTAGCTTGGACTTACTTGATCCAGGTGTACGGGCAGAACAAGGGTCACGCAGTTGCGAAGGAACTCTTTGACTCGGCACCCGTACGGAACCTGGTAACTTGGAATGCGATGATCCAATGTTATGCCCAGGTTGGGCATGGGACCGTTTTACTGCCTTTTATGATCCTGGAGGGCTTTGATCCGGATCAAGTGACTTTTAGCATTGTTCTCGGCACTTGCAGTCACTCTGGGTCGCTGGCAACGAGTAGAAGCGTTTTTCTGTCGATGGTGGCGGATCATGGAGTTTGCGTGGAGCTGGAACACTACCGATGTATGATCGACACTGTTGGGCGATCTGGAGACTCTAGGAATGCTCGGGTGCTTGTTGAGAGTATGCCTTACAAGGCTGATAGTTTTGCGTGGACGATCCTTCTCGGGGCTTGTAATGCTAGCGGTGATCCTGTTCAAGGCTCACAGGCTGCTAAAACAGTCATCGATGATCAACAGGTTTCCAGTTCTGGCCCTTACGTTGCATCCGAAATTTTCTTGAAAACGTAGTAAGAACTTCAGTTTTGTATCATATTTTCGTGAAGGATACGTAGTGTTTGTCTGCAAACAAAAGTACAAAGTAAACGGTTGTCAGCTGGCTCACCCTACTTTTGGGAAACTCTAAAGCTATCCACAAGGAGAGAACTTTACGATTATCCACCGTTTTGAATGAGTGCCCGCCTGATAACGTTTTGGCACGGTCTGGCAAGTAAACACAAAGAATTTTTCCGTATTTACCTTTGTTAACTGTTAGTCATGCCCAAGCTGTATTATTGGGTGATTGTATACATTGTTTGTTCTTGGCATAGAGCTTCATTACCAGGCTGCCCAAGGTCAGGAAACAATAAAACTCGTGGTATAAAGTTTGGAGGTATGTGATAAGTGGTGTAGAAGATCTTTTCTAATGATGCCTGGGGAGAGATTTGGGATCGGGCAATTGGAGTTGGGGTGTGGAAAACCGACCAATGGATGGACGGGAACAGAAATGGCCATGAGAGTGGAAAACATGATTGCGTTATACGGACGCAATTGCACAAGTCAAGTGGACTTTCCATTTGTGAGGTTAAGTACCATGTTGTCACTGAGGCAGTCAAGGAATTATTGTGAATGTGAAGATTTTATTGGGACATTGGTTTTGAGATCCATGGACTAATGACAGCTTACAATGACAACATGGGATACTTGCAAATGATCTTAAACCATGCCATAACAAATGCTTTGCTCTATTTCATACATGAAAGGATCAAAAGGGATAAGTATATTAGTTATTGTTTGTGACACATCGGTGTTTATTGACATTTAACAGTGATCTTTAGAAGTCTATTTAAAAGTTGCATTGTGAGTTGCCAGTGTGAGCGGAGTTGGCTTGAGACTTTCAACATCCTGTGCAAGTGCCTTGAGTTGAGTCATCACGTGTGAGAGCTGCTGGCATTGTTTTCTTCGTGTTTGGGGAATCCCCTTGTGCGGCATTTGGGGCTACAGTGTGCTCTAGCCCCTTAATGCCTTCACCACGGGGTTTCTTGTGGCCGGCTGGGGAAATCAAGTGGCTCCAAGAGTTCTATAATTGTCAAAGTGAGAGTTTGATGCTGGCATCACTTCTTTTCCATGCTGGGACTCTTTCCCTGAGGCTTCTATAAGTTGTGCCACCTTTTGCAGCTGCATGCATACAAGATCAATGCTAGGGGGTTGATGAAGCCCTGTCCAATGCTTCTACACTTTCTTGGTTGAGCTGTCAGGTTGGTGACACATTGGTTAATTGGGAAGAGTTAGAAGTACCATCTCCCTGGTTGAATTTTTTTATTTTTTTTATTTTTTTTTTCCTGGTTGACTGGCTAATTTGGAGAGCATGTTTGCCCTAAAATTTCAAATTTGAGGATATTCCACGCATTTAGGGCTTGATGCATGGCGAGAGCGGCTTGCCGCAGAGCCCCGGATTGCCGGCGAAGTTCTCCGGATCCATGGTGCTGAGCGGCGCTCCATCGGGTATGGCGCCAGTGAGCTGGTTGTGGGAGACATTCAAGTAGTGCAGGTTCTTGAGCGCCAGGAACTCCACTGGAATGCCGCCGCTCAAGCGGTTCCTGTCCAGATAGAGGCCCGTGACTTGGGTCAGCTGGGCGATTTCCGGTGGGATCCTTCCAGTGATGCTGTTGGAGCTCAGCCTCAGTACTGCGACGCTGTCGATTTCGTCTTGGGTCATTGGGATCTTGGAGAACCAGCTCGGGATGGCTCCTGTGAGGTGGGAATGGTCGAGAGTGAGGAAGGAGACTTGGGAGAGTGTGGTCAGTCCCTCGAGAGCCTGAAAGCTGAGATTGTTGTGACCCAGTCCAAGCGAGTAGAGCACTCCTTTTCCCAAGTTGGACAGGTCCGCTGGTACTCCGGTGAGAAAGTTGGAGCTAAAGTCCGAGTTAGTCAGCCTGGGGAGAGTTTCTCCAAAGCTGTCTGGGAGTTTTCCTTGGAGCTTGTTGAATTGGAGGAAGAGATTTGTGAGGTTGGAGTTCCTTCCGAGAGCAGCGGGTATAGTTCCGGTGATGGAGTTGAAGGAGAGGTCGATGAGACACGAAGATCCCAGGGGCTGTTGCTTGAGGTTGATGTTTGCAAACCAGGAAGGTATCGGTCCTTGGAGTTTGCAGCGACTGAGAGAGATGGTTGAGAGCTCCGGGAGTGTTGCCAGTCCAGAGATCGCGTCAAAGCTTCTGATATCGTTGTTGTCCAAGTAGACACCGTTCAAGTTGACGAGCTTGGCCATGTTGGTGGGAAGTCCAGTGAGGTTGTTCATCGAAAGCTCGAGGACTGTGAGATTCTTGAGGCCTCGAGCAAATCCTTCTGGAACTCGACCGGTCAGCAGGTTTTCGGAGGCCCAAAAGACTTCAAGACTGGAAAGAAGTCCCAGAGATTCAGGAATGCTGCCGCTCAATGAGTTGGACATAACGTCGAGTTTGACAAGTCTGCTAAGTTGGCCGAGAGAGCTCGGTATTTGTCCCGTAAGCCCAGTGCTGGAGACCGAAAGCTCTTCCAGGGAAGAGAGCTGGCCGAAGGAGCTGGGGATGGGACCACGCATACCTGCATTTTGAGACAGCTCCAACACTTTGAGCTTCTTCAGGTTCCCAAGCGTGTCGGGGATTCGTCCAGCGGCTTTGGTGCCGGAGATTCTCAGCGTTTCCAAGCTGGTAAGCTTTCCAATCTTAACAGGTATACTGCTGCTGACGAGCGTGTTGGAAATGTCCAGGAAACGCAGCTTGGGGAGGTTGCCGAGAGATGGAGGAATGGAACCAGAAAACTTGGTACCACTCAAGTCGAGATACTCCAGGTTTTGAAGGCCGCCGAGAAACGCCGGTATGGACCCTGTGAGCCGGAGGCCGTCCGAGAGATCGAGCGTTTGAAGATTTTTGAGTTTACTCAAGGACGAAGGAATGGAGCCCGTGAACCAGCTTCCTTGGAGATTTAAGATGGTGAGATTCTCGAGGTTGGCGAGGAACGAAGGAATGCTGCCGGCAGACGCATCAGCTCTTTCCAGGATGAGCTTCCTCAAGCTGGTAAGTTTTCCAATAACCGATGGAAACGGTCCTTCGAATCTGTAACCTGACAGATCCAGCGTTTGCAGCGTGGATGCGAGCTGAGCAAGGGACGCTGGCAGTGCTCCGGAGAAGAAGTTGCTGCCCAAGTCGAGAACCTCCAGCCGAAGTAGCTTACCAAAGGTGGAAGGTATCGGACCGTCCATGCTATTGCCGTGGACGTTGAGCGTACGGAGGTGGGAGAGGCTTCCCAGCTCCGGAGACAGCGTACCTGTTAATCCCAGGGACTCCAGCTTGAGCTCGCTCACCCGGCCGCCAGCTCCATCGCATTTGACACCAGACCATTCGCAGCAACTGGATTGCCGGCTCCAAGTGGTAAGTAGCTTGCTTCGATCTTGGTCGGCGTCCTTGAAAGCCAGCAGTGCCTTTTCATCTTCACTGTTGCAGGACGCCGCGGTGGTGTGGTGGGCGAGCAGTGAAACTGTCAAAACAAGGAGGAAAGACATGTTTGTTCTAGACATTGCGACTAAACAGTGACAAGTCTCTTGTTGCTCGTACTGGGCACTTTTTGTACTGAGAGTCTTGATCTTATCTACAGGGATACGAGTTCTTAATTGCTGTCGGTGTCAGCCATTGTTTTGGACTTTGTTCGTCGATGGCTGTGCACCTTGGAAAGGTTCTCATGGTTAGTAGTTTTTATGGGGTTTCTATGGTGTGCTGTTTCTTCTCACATTACCAATGGAACGCGCGGGAGTTGGAATCTCACTCTTTTGTTCTTACCATTCTTAAGGTACTCATAACTTTTTCTGTCATTGCAGTCGCCATTTCTTGGCCTTTGTGTTCGATTGCTGGCAACGTCAGAAACAATTGATGGCCTGGAGGTTATCTTTTAGTTCCAAGTTCAATGGTTCTTCCTTGCATTAATTTACAACTCACAGGGCATGGCCAAGAAAAAATTATATGCGGACAATTTGAACAACGTAGTGTCGCTTTGGCCGAGTGGTTAAGGCGTGTGCCTGCTAAGTACATGGGGTTTCCCCGCGAGAGTTCGAATCTCTCAGGCGACGCAATCGCTCTGTTACTTGTGTCATCTTTTTCCCAAGTTTCTTGGAGTGGAGATAGTGAGCGATAGTTTTCACTTTAAGATCAAGCCCTCGTCTCTTACGTTGGCTGCCCTTGGTTGAATGGGCATCTTTCGGATATGAAGCGTATCTTTGGAATGGTGCGTATCCAGAGAATGGCTGCTTAGAGATAGCCAGGCTAGTGTTTGAAAGGATGCCCGTAGTGTATAATAACTGCATATGCCCAATCAGGGCATATTGAAGACGATGAACTTCGTTTCAAAGTCATACCACAAAGTAGCTTTGTAACGTCGACTACTAGCTATGCACAAAACGGCATTATAGAGAAATCACGACACACGTTTGACATGGCGCGGGTGGAAAACCTTGACGTGGAATGTCATGATAGCAGCATATGCCCAGAAAACTGGGCAAATGACCATTATGATCCAAGCATATTAGACTCTTCCACAGAATGACAAGGCGATTGGACTACCATGGTACCGGTATATGCGCAGAATGGTTACTATGACGAGGCAAAGTGGGTGTTTGACCCCATGCCAAATCGCGACGTGGTAGCTTGGACTTACTTGATCCAGGTGTACGGGCAGAACAAGACTCGCGCCGTTGCGAAGGACGGAACGTACATGACATGGTAACTTGGACATGAGACCATGTTGCTGCCTTTTATGATCCTGGAGACTTTTAGCATTGTTCTTGGCACCTATAGTCACTCTGGATCCCTAGCAGCGGAGCTTGTTGAGAGTATGCCTTACAAGGCTGATAGTTTTGCGTGGACGATCCTTCTCGGGGCTTGTAATGCTAGCGGTGATCCTGTTCAAGGCTTGCTAAACAGTCATCGATGGTCAACAGGTTTCTAGCTCTGGTCCTTACGTGATTTTCTTTAAAACGTCGTAAAAACTTGAGTTTTGTCACATTTTCGCGGAGGATAGATCCGGAAAACTTTGGCAGGGTAGCAGCGTTTGTCTGCGAACTAAAATACAGGTAAACGGTTGTCAGCGGAATAGGGACGGCTGACCCTAGACACTCCACGGCTTTTGGAAACTCGAAGAAACTCCACGGGAAAAATCAAGCTATTCAAGAGGCCAGCTCCTTTGGATGATCACAACCTCTGGGTTTGGGGTAGCCAACTTGTCATTCTCCCAAGACTCTTCCAGGGTATTTCCTAATGAATGCCCCTTAGGTACGGTCTGGCAAAGGGAAAAATTTGATAATATTTAAATGGAAGCACTTTATCGTACTTTTACCCATGTCTTTTGTAATCGTACCCAACCGTAAGGTCGTATACTTTGTCTCAGACGTGCACATTGGTGTTGGAGACCAGACAAGAGCTCATCTATTATGTGTTTGGTTGAAATCCTAATATAAATTCATATATTCCATTTTATTTGGAGTATGTTTCCAAAACGACTTACAAGTAAAAAATGCGGGCAATCTGCGTCACTATGACATGCATTGATTTTTTGCTGCCACGTCTGCCATGATATAATGGGACCGCCTGAAATTTCCGCCACCTTTCTTCTTTTGTCCAACTCCACCTCTCCTTCTATAATTTTTACGTGAAAGCCTAATCGGGGTTTCTTAAAGAACCGTTGGCATTTATATACAAGAGTGGCTCTTGTGCGTAAATATTCTCCTCTCTTCCTCTCTTCCCTCTATTAGATTATCGATCTGGAGCCCTCTAGAGCGAGCAATCCCATCTCTAGAACTCATCGCAAATGGCATCGCGATCGAGGAAGCCCACTCTCGAGCTCCAGATCCCCGCGCCCGACGAGAATCCCATGCTGCTCCCACTGATCGATTTCAACTGGCACTTCCAGTCGATCGTGTCGCCCAGCGGCAGCTCCAGCGCCTCCCAATCGCCGGTTCTCAGCCCGCGCGGATCGAGCGAGCAGTCCGAGGAGGAGTGCCTGCGCGACGAGTTCTTGCGCGTCTTCCAGGCGATTGACGAGAATGGCGATGGGCTCATCAGCAAGGAAGAGGTGGGCAAGCTCATGGCGAAGCTGGGCCACGGGATGAGCGATTCCGACCTGGAGCTCCTCATGCTCACCGTCGATCTCAACGGCGATGGATGCGTGGATTTCGAGGAGTTCCAGGCCCTGTACATTACGAGCGTGGAAGGCGGGCGCATCGACGGCGGTGGAGGCGTCGGCGGCGACGGTGGCGATGGCGCGGAATCCTCCGACTCTTCTTCTTCTTCCTTTTCCTCTCTGGCGAATCCCCGCGGCGAGGAGGACGAAGAAGAGAATCTGAGGGATGCGTTCCGGGTGTTCGACCAGAATGGCGATGGATTCATCACCGCCGAGGAGCTCCACCGCGTGCTCTCCCGCCTGGGATTCATCCAGGGCGCGCGCAGCATTGCCGCTTGCAAGAACATGATCCGGGGGGTGGATTCCAACGGCGATGGGCTGGTCGATTTCCTGGAATTTAAAAACATGATGCTGGAGCGCCCATCGCCCAGATCCTACTTCGCGACCATGATCGAGGCGAACTGACAGTTCACGTACGGCAAGATTATGCCCCAGGTAATATACGCATATGCTTGATTTTGAATAGAAGCCATTGTACGGTAGAGGGACTTCCCCTTGACAAAACTCGCTGTAGTTCTATGAACGAGCAGGCCCGTAAATGTACAATTTTTTTTTCAGTGTTCTTGCTCGTTGGTTTTGTTTGTCGCTTGCCATCGCGTGAATCTATGCTGCGCTTAAAAATCCCATCCCACCAATTCGATAGAAGGCTTCTCTCCCTCCAAAGTTTCAAGCTTCCGAGAAGAAAATAACGCTGCTTATCACTCACCTATGGACGGGAGGCCACTTTTCCCCACTTTCTCGAGCTCGGCTCGGCCCTCCTCGCTCAAGGACTCCCTCCACTTCTTGCTCACCTGGGACGAAACGTAAACATCGTTAGCGCTTGCGTGGTTCCGTCTAAACAAGAAAAGGAGAGCTTTGGACGATGGATCTTACCGAAAGCCGCTCGAGCTGCTGGTTCATGGACTGGCGGTGGATTGAAAGATTTACATTTGCTGCTCTGTGGCGTTCCTGAGCATGCTGTCTCGACTCTAGCAGCCGTCGCACTCTATCGGTCTCCGCCTCGATTTTCTGGAGGATTTGCATCCTCTGGAGAGCCTGTTTTTGGATCCAAACAAGAACATCAGTGTTGAGAGAAGGGCCCAAGGATTTGAAAAGAAGAGAAAAGAGAGACCTTGACACGTTTGATGTTTTCAACTCTCGTTGTCTTGTCCTCAAACTCGATTTGATGCTCGACGGCTCTACGCGCATTGGCCAGTTTCTTTTGCATGATGAAGTTTTGTAATATCATATCAGCTTCATGAGCCTTGGCTAGGAGTTCCTGTGCGGGCAAACAGAAAAGTTTCTTCGGAGTGAAAGAAGTAAAAAACATGTCCCGTACCTGAACTCTCCGTTCACGCTCGTTCTGGGCTTCTCTGATAACTTCCTGTCGCTGCTGTTCCTTCATTTCTTCCTTTCGCCTCTTCTCGGCCTCTAGTTGCCTGTGCCTCTCCTCTTGCATCTTGAGCTTTATCCTCAGTTCCTGGAAGTGGCAAAGACGTTAGCACAAACATCGGCAGTGGTGCTATCAGTAAAATCGAGCAATAATTCAGCCATCTGACGATCCAGCCCAGTAGCAGTACTCACTTCCTGCTTGTGCTCATAGTCCGACTGTCGCTTGGCAAGTTGATGAGCGAAGTTTTCGACGACTTGCTGGTGGCGTTCCTCGGCCAGCCGGCGAGCCTCTGCATTTGCTGCTTGCCTTTCCTTATTTTGTTGCTCCATCACCCGCTGCCTTTCCTGATCTTTCCTCACCATGTCCTCCTGTCTCTTCCTCAATACCTGCAAAAGAGCAAAAGTTACACACAACTACATGCAGAAAAATGGTACAGACCTCCTGCTGAGCTTCCTGTATCCTTTCAAGCTGCCGTCGGAATTCCTCCTGTTTTTGCTGTCTCTCTTGCTCTTTCCGCACTGCTTCACGTTGTAGTTGTTTCTGGAGATTAAACAAGCGTTAGGAACCCATGCATCGAAAACGCAGTCTACGCACCTGACGTTCAGCTTCTATCTGCATTTGCTGCTGTTCACGAGCATATCTCTCCGCAGCCATCTGCCTGCTCCTCTTTTCCAACGCTTCTTCCTGCGCCAAAGAAAGAATAAGTATGTCTGTGTGTAAGGAGATAACTATCGAGTTTTTCATACCTCCTTGACCTTCTCAAGCTCTTTCTTCCGTAGCTCCTCTTGCCACTCCTTGTCCTTTTTCAACTTTTCAGCTTTCTGTCCAGAAGAAAGTTACGAAAATTATCGTGTGATGCTACTGCTTTTGATTTTCAAATACCTTTCTTTCCGCAGTCCTCCTTTCCGCCTCAACCCGTGCTTGGTTCTCATCGGCCATTTGCTGTTTACGGAAACAGTAAGATGCAACAAATCACTGGAAATCACAGACCTGTCTTTGAGCTTCGTACTTGGCCATTTGCTCCATCTCTCGCTGCTGCCTTCGACGGAGTGCTTCAATTCTTTTTCTATCCTGCAAAGTACTAGGACAGAGCTTGTTCAATTAACCTTAAACAAAACGAGTGACGATCACGATAGTAGTAAAGAGTGAGTACTGCCGACTGGGCTGTGATCGCTACACGTAAGTCGATTCCCCGAGCAAACAAGACTTGGAGTTTTTACCCTGTCCATAAGGTCTCTATCCCCTCCGCCCTTGCGCCTTTTCTCGGATGCAGCAGAAGCTCGCGACTTGTCCTCGTCGGACTTTCGTATCAAGCGTTCTCTTTCCTCTTTCAATCTTTGCAGCTTCTCTGCATTCAGGTCGCTAGGCGATTCACAAACCATTACTTGATATGCGAGATTGGAGGGGTCTGTACCTCACCTCTTCTTTGAGTTTCATGGTGGTCGTATTTTATCTGCTGGAACTCTCGGCGCATTCCCCTCTCGGCGAAAGTGTCCATTGGCCTTGAAAGTTTCCAAAGGGCAAAGATAAGAAGAAGCTAGCAGAAAGAAAAGAAATAGCTGGATTTCTCGCCATACCTGTATACCACCTCGCTGGGATCAATTCCAAGATGGAGACATGCCTGGAGAGATCTGGGACTTGAAAGCCTGACAGTATGATCTGCGAAGAACAACGCAGGAAATTTAAAATCGCGTTCCCGCCAAAACGAAAAACGCAAAAAAAGACGAGACATACCCGTGACTTCCAGGAGATCATCCAGATTGACGAATTTCTTGTCCCTGGGGGAATGCTTGGCAGCATCGATGGCATGCTGCGAGGAAGTGATTGGATTGAATGGATCTATCGGCGAGAGATCGCAATGTACCTTCCAAGCGCGGAGCATTTGCTCCGTCCATAAATCTGGCGGCACGCTGGGATCATTGATGACCGCTCCCGGAGTGTGCGACATGGCGCCTCGCCGAAGCAGTTGTCCCTCAGGATTTTTCTCCCGAAAACCCTAACCCTAGAGAAGCCAAAAAAAAGTTTTTTCTTTTTTTATTTGCCATATTTTGTTTCCACTGGGCCAACCGTGGCGACCCTTGAAGCACGAAACCGTGACGTGGTCCAGTCAGGGGTTGCCATTGAGCTCACGGGCGTAACGCTGGCGCCGGCCGACATGGTGACGTGTCAGTTAACTCTTGACGGTTGAGCCTTCGTCGAGGCTTGGTAAGTTCGTAGTGTTTAATTCTTCTTTCGTTTCCAGGTCGGTTTGATCTCGTGCTCTCTCTAATTTCTAATTCTCTTTTACTCTCGTTGCCACGGGACCACATTCACTGGATGTATATGCAGCTTCTTCTTGCTATGCTAAGTTGTGAAGTCTATCTCATTAATCCTCATAAATTGCCTTTTAGCCTAGACTATAGAAAAGATTGACAAGTGGCCACTGCAATCAAACAAAAGTTGGGAAGCCCATCAAGAGGACAAAGGGAGATGAAGCTAAGGAAACCAGAGGTCCAATTAATATCGTGAGGATTAAGGAAGCTAAAGTAGCGTAGCAAATCCTAGGGCAGGAGACTACTAGATAAAGAAGGAGAGGGAGCTCGAGACAAGTGCCAGCATGAGAATCCGCTAGTAAACAAGAAACCAAGAATCAAATATAAGTAATGTTTACTAACTTAATTTTGGTGAAAGAAAATGTGATTAGGGGTGACTATGTAAAACGCTAATTAGCACTACCTTTTACACCATTCTCTTCTCCAGAAGATGGTCTGGCAGAACATTTAGAACATCTGCTAGATTGCCACAAGAACTTAAAACTCCTAAAGCAATTGGTAATTATGACATAATAAAAAATTAAAGTTCTGGCAGAAGCATTAGCTAAATAGAATTTAGATGAACTATAAACCAACCTTAAACTTAAATTAAAGCTATAATTCTAAAACTAATAAGGGACTTCAAGTGGGCTTAATCTTGAGTTTATTGACACCTTGATGCAAATATATGATACTGGTAAGCATAATTCATAGCTTTAAATATTATACCACCTTTTTGTTCATGTTACAGATCTTATATAAAGGAGGAACATGTAAAATTGTAAATTGCATCACTAATTCCACTAAGTTTGAGCACATTTTCTTAATCTGATACCATGTTAACAAACCTGGGCAATGTGTGGACCTATTTAACAAAGCAGCAAAACATAACTTAGTTTTATTCAAGCTTAGATCAAGTTTACCTGTTATTGTTTTCATAATCCCATTAACCTTGTAGGAATATATTTTAGTGTCTTAGACTCCAAAATCATTGTTAACTCAAGACTCACAACTTATCTAATATTATACATTGAAGTTTGTTTATATTAATTTTTCATATCCTCTTTATCCCCACCTTAAAAGGAAAAAATAATTTAAAGCATTGATTCTATTTATACTCTTTGCATTTATCCTTGCTTTAACATGTATATGTATCATGTATATGTATATGTATATGTATCATATATATTCAGCCTCACTTCACTATCATATGCACTTGGTTTAAATTTTTTTTAGTAACATTTAAAGCAAAAACACAAAAAGAAAGAAAATATATTCAAGAGAAAAACTCTTATACTCTCAAGAGAATTGAAGAATTCTCCAATGGTAATGGTAAAACAAAAACTTCTAAAAATATTCACATTATGATTTAACCTTTGAAATAAGAAATTACTCAAAGTTAGGAAGCTACTCAAAGCTACTAAAGAAAAAAGCTAGGAAAGAACAAAGGGTAGAGAAAAAAGATTATATAGTAAATTGAAACTACAAAATGTCTAACTTATCCTCATAGTTATCCTTTTTAACAAGAGTTTACTTAAGTTTGTAAATATTGTCTTCCCAAAGGTTTGATCCTTACACTACATCATCTATAGCTCTCTAATTAATGTAATAATCACACTATATCAACAAGATAAAGCAAGACACTAAGAAAAACACTATGCCCATCGAAGTTGGTAATCATCTGGCAACGTATGAAAATCTTTGCTGGTGAGCTGACTGTGGAGGGCTGTTGATTGAGAAATGTGTTATTTAAGGTTGTAGATGCTACTCTATTATCCTCATCTAATAATGATTTTCGTGCTATTGTGTCCATATGGAAGAACAGTCCCCCCATCGTCGACAAAGGATTGATGCTCTAAAGCTTCTCCAACTCCAAAGTTTACACGACACAAAAAACTCTAGCCAAAGTCAGAAGAAAAGCTTCATGCCAAAGAAAAACTTACCCGTGATTGGAAGATCCAAAAGCAATGACAAAAGAGAAATATGGACATTTGCAGCAGACAATGGTGAAAATTGAAAAGAAAACTAAAACAATAACTAAGAAAGCTAAATTTGACAAAAAGAGTAGATTTAGATCTAAAGAACAGACAAAATAATCAAAGCCTAATATAAGGATATGGGAATAAATATTTTTAATTAGGGTAAAGACTTTTTTATATAAATTAATCTGACGGATACACTATTATCTTTAGCGTATTTATACATGTATTTACAGATTATTGATGATAGTTAAATATAGAGACAATGTTGATTGATTGATTAATAGTTAAATACAGGTGTTAATAACAATGTTGATTGATTGATTAATAGTTAAATACAGGTGTTAATAACAATGTTGATTGATTGATTGATAGTTGATAAATTTAAAGCTAGGCAATTATTGCAAAACATTGCAAAATATAATCTAAATCATGGGGAGCTTGTATATTTTACTAATTGCTAGCCTGCTGTGGTTAGTGGTTGATTGCAGTAGAGTAGCCACCACAAATTCTAATTCTACTGCTGGTAAGTTATGTTTATACCTATTGAACTTATTATCTTAGGTGGTAAATTTTTAGCGCTACATGGGCAATGCCACGGAGTCTTCTTCCCATGTTTACCTTTCACTGAAGGATGTTGTTCATTCTGTACTTTGTTTTTGTGTGCTTGGTGAATTATATTCCAGAGTAATCTAATTTTACTTCGTTCTTTCCGGTGAAATTTTATAGACATCGAATCACAGACATCAATCTATGAAGATTTTCAAGACCACACTACATCGACGAGTTTTTACAATGGCCTCAACTTTGGCTATGATGTCCATTCTTTACAAGACTATGGTGAGCTACGGTGAGACTAGCAAGCCACCATTGTCCAAATATTCCTACCATTTTCCGCTCTAGTTCTTTCGTTCTAGACGATACAAGCCTTCAAAGAGCCTGATCACAAACATGTCCATACCTGCAAGCATCGTGTCTCGTTTTTCACTTCGCATCGATTCAAGAGGTTACCTTGATCTTCCCGTCTCCAGATCCGCTGTAGAGCACGTCCCCGTCCACTGCCAGCGCGTTTAATTTGCTCCCTACTGCCAGACTTCCTACTTTGGCAAGCCGTGCTCGAAGCCACACCTGCGCAGAACACAGTGGTGGTTTGCATTCGAGTTCTTATAGTCAGCTTTGCTTGCCTCGATCGTTCCCGAGCTTAGGCCGAAATAGAGGAACTCCGAGCTCATAGCCATCGATCTTACTTCCGATTGTATGGACAGTGCACTTACGAGTGACTTATCGGCTTGGTTCCACACCTGTCATCGTTGATTCAGCATCGATACAGCACAAGCAAATCGCGTACCTTGACATTCATTCCATCACAGAATGATCCCGCTGTATAGATCTGACCTTTGAAAACTTGCAATGCATTTACTGGCCGTTTTCCTAGCAAAGTTCTCACGCCGCCTTGGATGCACATCATGGCAGTTCCTGATGGATCGGTTTCCTGCCAACCCATCTTAGTGACGTTTCTTAAGAACAGATTTCGCTTACATGTACGCTGTTGTCTGTGCATCCACAGTAAATCATGCCTTTGGAAGCGGCCACACTTTGTATGTTCTTGTGCGAAGAAATATGTCTTGCGTCATTCTCTTCGTATTGCACCTGTTACTAACAAGTTGATGACTGAGTAAGTCGATGCTTTCCCTACCTGAATGCCTGGGATGCCTTGTAATATAATGCACGCGAGAGAACCCGTCACAACCAGGCTTAGAACACCACCATTGAGCTCGAAGACATGGAGGCAGTGTAAGGTATCGTCTTCAATGGACCAAACCTGTTTGTAGCGACTGTTAGTCATGGCATAACCCGCGCTTACTGTTTTGCATACCCGGATAGTTTTGTCCAGAGAACCGCTGTAAAGCCTGTGCTTTGATGGTAAAATCGCCAGGCTCGTGACGCATTTTGTATGCTCTGTGGCTTCTCTCAGCAACAGCAGATTTTCTTCCGCAACTTTCCAGCTCTGATAAAGTGGCATAAGACAGTGTCAGTGTGGACCGCATGTTTCGACCACCTTGATTGTTCCGTCAGAGTGTCCACTGTAGAGAAATCCTTTTGCACATGCGAGTGCACGCACCTCACCATTGCCACTTGTATCTGCTTGCATAACCTCGTCGTGTTTCCATTCTTCTGCCTGCAACTTCGAGTGTTAACTCCAAAAGGAGAACAGGAGAACGACTCACTTTCACATTTGGGCTGGTTATGAATGTTTGGTACAGCTTTGACGAGATCCAGCTCTCATTTTTCATTGATTTGAGCGGCTTGCATACGGCAGCAGCGGACTTCACAAGCTCTTGCGTACTGGCTGTTAAAAGAAACGAGTTAGGAAGGATCGCAGGATGATAATTGAACTGCGCATCAAACCTTTGTCCGTTAGAAAACTATACAAAGCAAGAGCTGCGAGGACTCGATGAGCGTCAGATTGTAGCAAAGTTATGTATCGGGGCAGTAAGAGTTTGCGAGCTTGAATCCAGAGTCCCGTTTCAGGTAGTTCACGTGCCATGTAGAGTAACCACGTCGCGATTGTTATGCAGGGTGTCGCAAGCTCCAATGCCTCGTCAAGTACATTCTCAGCTAGCACTTCCAGCAAAGTTCCATTCTCATAGTCCAGCAGAGCTCTCGCAACTTTCTTGTCCCAGTCATCCTGTAAGTCGGTAATCGGCCACTCAGTCGGGAATTACAAACGTTACCTGCTGATAATTTTTAGTTGGCTTTGTTTTCGACGCTTTTATAAGCCAGGATCTCAGCACTGGTTTACCCGAAGAAGAAAATCTCCCGACTATGCATATGATAGTACGAGCTGCTTCCACTTGCAAAGATAGCCGATCTTTGTTCTTTATTGCCTTAAGTAGTGTGTCCATTGCTTCTTCCGTGTACACGCTATCTTTCCGAGGCTCTCCCTGCGTTATTAAAACACGTTAGAAACCAAAAACGCTCAAACTTGCATTCTTTTACCAGTAAATCTAGCTGCATTAGAAGGCCTGCTGTAAGTATTTGCTGCTCCAGTGGTGCAACTTGGAGGTGCATCAGAAGTGCGTGCATGCTGCTCACACAACCTTCAGTTTTTATAAGCCCGAGAATTTGTAGACGAGATGTTTTCCTGTCATGGTTTTGTGTTAATGTATATTGATTGAGCGAAAAGCTTACTTGTATGATCGAACAAGTTCCATAAGGAGCGCAATAGTTCTTGCCCTTGCCGCTTTATCGGCACTGTGGAGAACTTTCAGCACCAAAGTTAAGTGATCGGCTTGAGAGACGAAAGTTCTAGCGTCCTCGTTGGCTCGCACACACCTGAGTAATATCGACACCGCAGCTACTCTTTCCTTTTTATCCTTCGTGTTCAGGCTTTCGATGAGAGCTGGAACCGCTGTCAAAGAGACGAGCGTCTTGATGTTTACAGAGTTCCTTTCCAGTTCCATGCTCGAGAGTACATGCTCAAGCATTGTGACTGCAGCGGCCTTCGGTTTGATGCTGCTCTGGAAGAAAACATCGCTAATTGTCGACTCCCTGCTTTGCTTGATGACAGCTACCAAGTGCGGTAGAAAATCGGCCATCGCAATGTCGGGAAGAAAAGGCCTCAGCTGAAGCAGCAACACTTTCAAGTTGACTAAACCTTCTTTCAAGAACTTTTGCATGCGTTGGAGGCCTGGGTCTATAGTCAAGATGGTCTGCCTTGTGTGCTCATCCCTGTGAACTAGTTCAATTAGAATGTGTACTGCTTCCTTTTGAACCTCCACCGAACTCGACTTGCATATAGTTTCCATGAGACCGTCGATAACTCTCGGTTCCGTGAGCAGGACAGTGACGTCTTCGTCTCCGTGGACTTCCTCCCAGACCCGACAGATTGTCCGCACCGCTGCTTCGCAATCAGTAAGATTATCCAGTCTGCTAAGAGTCTCCAAAGACATCTTTAGTTTCTCTAACCCCGTCAGTCCTGCATCTGTCAAACTGCCTGAAGACGTGGGAAAGTAATCGTTGTTCGTAGTCTGAGGGGAATCCTTTATAGAAAACTGAGTTGACTCTGCTTTCCAGTCCGATATCAACCTTTTGAGAATATAGTTTGTTCTAGGAAGTGCTACCTTGATCAGAGGTTGCCGGCTCATGGGACAGGTTACATTTCCCCGACTTAGCCACTCCTTGATGGCCTTTCTCTCGTAAGTTTGGCCAGTTTCCAAAGTGACAGGGTCGTCAAATATCTGGTTCGTGATTGGACAGACAAAATCTTTGGGAGGCGTACTTGCAAATAAGCTGCAATGCAATCGAGTAAGGGGGCCACAATCAATAACTTCATATTCGTAGTACCTCGTCGAAGGAGAGCTCTTAGTTTCCATAGATATGTGATTGAAAACTTCATCGCTACCGTCTGCTTTGTTGCTTTTAACATTCTCAACCTCTGGTTGTGTATTATCACTGCTTAAAGTACAACTTTCATAAGTTTTCAGGCTGCAAAAGAAACACATGTTAGAAACTTATAATGCCAACGTACTTCACTACCTTTGGTTCTCGACATTCTTCCGATTGAAGATTGCGAGCTCGTGAACGGGTGTCATTGGTGGTTCCGCGATCGGCATAAGTGGAGGAACGCGCTTCTTCAGAGAATCGGCCGTGAGAGTTAGCCAGTCCTTGTAATACTGTGCAAACTCCCGTGTGTGATCGTCCAGACTAGCCTGGTAAAGCCCCTCGACCCCTTCCAGCTGCTCTTTTTGTTCCAGAGTCAGCAAATCCTCTTCTCCGTCTTCCTCTCTCGACTGGAACGAGTAAGAAACGTCGTCGGACTCGGCCATCTTGATACGATGTCGTTGAAGAGAATACCACCCTTTGATGCTTGTAAGATGAGGCTGGAACAACTGGTCCCATAGCTGAGGGGCAAACTTGAGTCTAGCCGACCGAGGATCCACCAGGAACATATCGAGCACGCAAACGGCAGCCTTCCGGTCATCGTTCCGTAGCTTCCACACGTAGGAGAGAATAAGCGATCCCCAAGCCGATAGATACGTCCCTGGAATCCCTGCTATCTCACTTCTCACGTCGAGCAGCGCACAAACTTGTAGCATCTTCTCGGCGTGCTGCAGCCTCGCGCTCTTCGTCTCCTCGTGTGGAGTTCGTATCGCTTCCTCCACTGCCTCGATCCCCCAGTCCAGGTTCGCCAGCACCGCTTGCTCGGCATAGTCGACATAGCCTCCTTCGTTGTCGCTGTGTTGCACCAGTGCTTCCGTGCAAAGCTTCTTGTGCTCGGCTCGTCGATCGCTGTCCAGCAACTGATCCAAGATATAGCTCCCGACGGTGGAGAGGACGATTTTTTCGATTTGAGCTGGTGTTCGTGCCGCCGCAAAGTTGTGAGAACGTTTTTTTGATGCCATCATCTATCATCGTCCGCCCTGCTAGCTAAAAAGCCTCGGTTTCTCTGGATCTAGACTTCCTCCTACGACACTCTGTCACGCGAGAGTTGTCCTAATGGCCGCGTCCTATTTTTGTTTTAGCGAAGTTGTCCGGTGTGCCTTGGCATCTCAGAGGACGAAAGCATGCATAACACTGGTGACAAATTCAGCACAAGAACAGAAGCAATGATGTAAGCTCGTAGCTAGTGAAACTTTTGGTTACGTACATTATATTTTGTTCAGAAGCTGTTTGTCCAAATTGTCACATTTTACGTCGTTAAATGCGTCCAAGTGGCTAATCAACAGTCGTTAGCGACGGACACTATTGGAAATAAGGTCAATTTGCTCACTATTACTTATTTATCTGAATCGAATGTTGCTCGTCCCGTGGAAGTGAGCTTTCAGAGCTTGTGGATTCGCCCACTCAGAGTTTGTGTAGGAGTCGTCTGTGTTCTCTTTTAGAGTCTGCAAAGCAGCGTTTGCGAGAATAGAAAGTCAGCTATTGCAGGCCAAGGAAAGCGTAAATAATAGAAGCCAATGACCTTTTCTTCTTGCTGCCTTTTGTAGTACCAAGACATCATGGCCTTTTGAGTCTCCGCATCTACTGGCTTCTCAAGAAAAAAAACAGAACAATTAAACAGTGAAACAATGCCGAGAAAAATAAAGAGCTTACAGGCTCACGCATAGGAGCCCCACGGCCTCTTTCTTGAAGCTTGGCAATGATCTTTATACACAAAAATAAACAAAAGGACGTCAGGTCAATGTACTATCAAAGAAAACTTCCAACCTTTGTCTTGTCATTCTTCCCGACGTAATCCGCAAGTCTTTTGTCACGCATGAGCTCTTTTCCTGCCCACCATAGCTGCGCAGTAGCCGGATTTAAAGTTTCCATGCCTGGCTTAAGAAAAATCTTAGCAAGATGGTGACAGAAAAGAACTGGTATACTTACCTTCAAAAGTTCCAGTAAGTTGCTGCTGCACAGGGTCGTGCCTGGGAAGTCCCTGCGGATAGCAGATCATCACAGCGCCTTTGATGTTCTGGATCATCTCCTTGAGGAAAAAACTGGACAGCGGGACTTTGTAAAGCACTTGATCCTAAGAAGAAAAGAAGATATGGATCACTGATCAAAGAAAAAAACTAAAATGTGGCAATCACTTACTTTCGAAACGCTAGTCTCTGCGTCCGATAGCGTTCTCTTGAGCGTCTCACCCACATTGGGATCGCAAGCTTTGAGAAATAATATAATCACGTAACATGAAAGAAAGATCAAGGAACAATCTAAAATTTACCTTCTCCAGTCCGACGACCGCTTGGATCCTTCTTGTAGAACGGCCCTCTTTCCTTACGAGAAGAAGAGCTACTGGCGCCAGTGGAATTACCCTCGTCTTCCTCCTCCTCGTCTTGTTCTTGCTCCTCCTTGGATTTGATCGGCCCATACTCCAGCAGCTGCCCGCATTCCTGGACCAGATGGAGAATCCGGAGCTGGAGATTATTCACGGCGACGACATCCCTGACGATCGCATCGACGCACTCGGCGCCGGGCGCCTCGAACAAGAACTGGCGATCATCGCCCTGCTTGAAATGCAAGAGCACCATAGAAATTTCCCTCCTCTTTCTCTGCCCTAAAAACTATAACCACGATTGGTAGTTACTTTTGTTCTTTATAACGTGACAAAACTTTGCGCTGTACAAAGCAAACGAGCACAAAACGAGCAAAGCAAGCGGTCTTTCGCTTGTTCTTCGTTCTTCGGTATGGATGGGATTCCAGCCATTTTATCCTGGATTTGGCTGGAAAACAAGAATGAAGCCTTCGAATCTTCATGATTTCTCATTGATGCCTCTCGGGCTTTTGCAGCTGGGAAGAACTTTGCTGCAGGTTTTGCTGCTGCTGCTGCTGCTGCTGTTGCTGAATTTGGATCTGGAGTTGCTGTTGATGGTGGGTCATCAAGTGCGCATTGTACAAATCGGTGCTCACTCCCTGGATGTCACGCGCGCGTTAGTGCTACGCTTTAGAAAAGCTCTGAAAAGCGAAGACAGACCTGCGGGAATTGAGCATTCGTGGGAGGAGCTCCAGCATTGAAATGGAGTCCCGGATGCTGTGGGAAATGGTGCCCGGCCACGTCTACCAGGCGTACTCCCACACCGTACGGTGATGAAACGGGAGGAACCATTGGGAACATCATCCCGCTTCTCATGGACATCATCTGGCACAAACGGAAAAGCACTTTTAGAGTCGAGCCACGAAATTGGACAGACCACCTGTAGTTGATGTTGAAGTAACTTAAGGTACTCAATCGCCTCGTCCAACATGGACGCCTTGTCAGTCTAAAACAAAAGAGAAAAAGAAACAGTGGTTTTAGAAAAACCATTAGAGTCTCTTCCTCACCTTGTTAGAGTTTGGTATCAGTTCCTGTAAAGCTTTCATTCTCTCGTTTATCCTGTCCCTCCGCTTCTGTTGCCACATGAACAAAGAATTAGAAAAGAAGAATCAAAATAGAATCCATCACAACTTGAGAACTTCCAAAATACCCGCTCAGAGAGATTGTGAACTTCTGCTGCTCTACTTCTTTTGGACCCCTTGGGAGGCTTCTTGTCCCTCTATCAGATCATAAGAAAAGCATTAAAAACACCAACATGAATGAATGACAGAAACGCTTACTCTAATTTGACACCCCGCCGTGTCCTCGACGTCTACTCTTTTGCAGTCCCTGTCGGTCTTATCGCTCCGTGATCCACCCGTGGTAGCTGTGAAGGAACTATCATTTGCATTCCCCAAAGTCCTGCCAGAGTTCTTTGTATCGTAGCTGCAGTTCATATCCGAACCTGTGATATCCGTCTCACTTGGCGCATTCTCGTCGCTCGGCCTACAACTTCTACACTCCAACGTACTCCTGTCCGATTCCAAAGAAATAGCTTCCTGAGCTTTCCATGCCTTTGCCGCGACCCGTGTAGACGTCGTTGCCGCGGACAAAGAAAACTGGGGGAAGCTCCCGACTAGAGGCTGAGACGAGGACGAGCTCGGGAAACTTGATGGATCCTGGAATGGTGGCCTTGCTTGAGTTGAGTGAGGCCGAGTTGTCAATGGCTGGCACACTGTTCTCGACTTGTTAAACGTTTGCACACCGCCAGTTTGAGGCACAAAGCCCGCCGCTCGTCCAGCGGCTAGCGCGAGAGCGGCATCAGCATTGTTGCCTCTCGACTGCTTCTGGAGATCTGTCCCGAAACTTTGCTGGATCCGGGGATCTCGGAAAACTTGTAGCGACGAGCATGGTCGATCTGCGGAGCCCCCGGCACCAGCAAAGAGCTGAGTGCCACAATTCGGGTCGTCCAAGTGTAGCCACGACGCCATATCGTCTCGAGCAGCGGCAAAGTTTGATGATCCAACGGCGGCCTCCACACTATCCAAATGCATTAGAGCGGACGATTCCTCTTTAGAATCCCAGGGATATTGCCAAAACGTGTCACTTCTCGTGTCAGTATTCTGCCCAGAGGATAGATTTTTTAAAAGAAGAAAACCATGAGTGCTCGCTCGCTTTGTGGAGAAAATCTCAAAATCCTTATATCTTACCTTCATCCAGCCGAGCCTAAGTCACGATCAAACGCGATCCCAATCCAATCCAAAAGCCCCTACGCATTCTCGTACCCTGCCAAGACCAAAGAAGCCGCCGGCATTCGGACGAAATATCGAGAATGCGAGAGAAAGATCGGCGAGTTACCTCGCATTGCAGCTCCCAGCGCTCGAATCCACGCCCCCGCTGCGAAATGCGCCCCTCCCGCGACGATATTTCGCATCCAGGAGCTGCGAATGCGGGAGACTATCGCCAGAATCCCACGCCGCGACGCGAATCGAGGCGAATTCCAAGCACACCGACCAGGCGATCGAATGCCGCCATCACCGAGAGAGCGCCGCGCCGGAGCTCCTCACGTCCTTCCCCACGAAACGAGAATACGAGCCGGAGAAGGATCTTGCCTGGATAACACGTGGCATTGTGCGTGCCCTAATCATTTGGATGTAATTTGGAAACTCGTCATTGTCAGCCATTATCCCTTAGGGCAAGCGCTCCCAACGGCCGCGATGCGCCCATGTGGCAAATCCAACGGCGGGGACCCCGTCAGCTTGATTATTCTCCACCACTTGTTGGGAGATCCCTTCTTGTGGCGGTGGTGCCTGTGTGCCGCAATCTTTGCGAGGCGTCCGCCGTACAAATTTCGCCCGTACTTCCTTTCCAGCAATGCTAGCAAGGGTCAAATAATTTGTTCGGTTGGCATTGTTTTAGTGCTTTGCTTTTTATCCTCGGACAGACCGACACGGCCTAACGTACAACTCTCTTCTAAGGGCATGTTGTTGTTGGTGGCGTCCACGTCAGGGCATGGCCTTAATCCCTGCTTGTCTGTCGGTGGTGCGTGGATACGATGCCAGGATATATTCCACCTTTTGACTTGGGGTGGACTGCTTGGTCAAAGTCCGCACCAACCGTTGACCGCCGAATTCCTCCGGATTCTTCGACTTTCCTCATGCTGCCGTCTCGAACTCAAACTGGATTTCCCCCAAATTTCCAGTAGTCTGGAAGATCGACACCCCAGCCTCCAGCTCCACCGCCTCAATCAGTGACACCGTGCTTCCAAGGTCACCGGAGCGGCAAACGAGATCCACGAGGCACAAGTAGTGATCCTTGCACGGTATTTTGTGGCCGTAGTCGCCAGTGAGCGAGCGAAAGCATTGCAAGCCGAGATGCAGCTCGCCGGCGTGGCTGCATGCCGCCAGCACGCTCACAAGCACAACGTCGTCAGGCTGTATACCGTGCTGTAGCATGGAATGGAAAGTCTCCAAAGTCCTGGCGGTATGCCCGTTTTGGGCATATGTCCTGACCATCGCAGACCAGGCCACCAAGTCCTTGCGAGGCATGTCTATAAACGAGCTCCACGCTTTCTCAACGCTGCCGCATTTACCATACGTGGTGACCAGGGCGGTTGCAACAGCGGTGGTCTTGTGGAGATTACACTCGATTGCAACTTCGTGGATGGTTTTGATTTGTGAAAGAGATGGTATGTTCGAGCAGGCGTTCAGTACACATACAAAGCTCACGGAGTTTGGAGCCTCCCCTTCAAGATCCATCGTCTTGAATACGAGGATGGCATCGTTGGGATGCCCGTTTTGGGCATACCCAGCGATTACGGTGTTCCAGGTGACAACGGATTTTTCCGGAGCACCGCTAAACATGGCAATGGCTTGATCAAGATGAGCACTTTGGACGTATGCTCCGATCATTGCAGTCCATGAGATAACGTTTGGATTCGAGAGACCATCAAACAAACGTTTTGCTCCATCCACATCGCCGCACTTCCCATGCATGTTCAGGAGAGCGTTCTTCACTTTGAAATCCGAATCCAATCCTGCATTGAGAATAACAGCGTGAAGCATTTTTCCTACTGCTAGATCGACGCACGCCTCCAAGACACTGATGAAAGTCACAGCATTCGCTTTAACTCCCTCCACATTCATCGCCCAAAACATTGCAAGAGCATCTATCTTTCTTCCGCTTTGAGCAAAAGCCGCCACCATCGCATTCCATGTCACAACGTTTTTCAAAGGAAAAGGGATCAAACCAAAGAAAAGCTTTGCCTTCTCCAAATGCCCATTTGTGGCATATGCTGAAAGCATAGCGTTCCAAGACACGGTATTTCGATCAGGCAATCGATCGAAGAGTTCTTCAGCCTCCGTGACCATCCCATGCCGCGAGAATGCGCTCAGCATTGCGTTCCACGAAATCACATTCTTCTCCGGCATAGAATCGAAGACGAGCTGCGCGTTGTCAATCTCCCCACACTGGGAGTATGCCTGGAGCATGATGTTCCACGAGAAGAGATCCGGCCGCTTGATCCGATCAAAGGCTCGTCGCGCCTGGGACGCCTCCCCGCATCGCCCATACATCTGCGCGATAAGATTGCCCAGAAATGTGTCGCCATCGTAGCCGCGCTCGCAAATGTGGAAGTGAACTCGCTGCCCCTCCGCCAATCGCTTCGCGGCGCCAAATCTCTGGAGCAAAGCAGCGTATGTTGCCGAATCTGGCGCTCCCAAGAGCTCCTCTATCTGCTCGTTCATAGAAGAACCCTAAACTATGTTTATAACGGTCAGTTCTAGTCAACGGTCATCTTCCTAGCAGCCCAGTCAAAGATTAAGAGGAGGGAACGACGCGATGAATGAGAACGATGGCCACATCCATTAGATGCGCCAGGCGCTCCGTTTCATGAGCCAAGCTTCTGTCGCTAATCCTCCTCTTCGCCACCGAGAAGATTTGGAGCGCGAGCTCGCGCCACTCCTTCGGCAATGCATCAAGACGAGGGATCTATCCCAGGGCAAACAAATCCACAAGAGAATCGTGGAACTAAGCCTAGAAGGGAGCCGATTCCTCGGTCACCTCCTCATCCAGATGTATGGCAAATGCGGCTGCATCGCAGAGGCGCAGCGCGCATTCGCCAGCATCCACACCCAAAACATCTACTCCTGGAATCTCATCATCGTTGCGTTCCTCGAGAATGGGAATCTCCAGAGCGCGCAAGACCTCTTCGACCGCCGGCCCCAATTCAGCGTCATCGGATCAAACGCCATGATCTCGGCATATGCCCAAAACGGGCATCTGCGAAAGGCAAAAGAGATCTTCGATTTCATGCCAGACAGAGATACCGTCTCGTGGAACGCCATGATCACGGCATATTCCCAGAACGGGGATATACGCTCAGCCAAGAGAATCTTCCACTCCATGAAAGAGAGAGATGTGGTCTCCTGGAACACGATGGTCGCGGCATATGCCCAATCTGGGCACGGCAGGGATGCGATACGGACATTCCGTACAATGGAGCTGGAGGGGTTGCGGCCCGACCACGTGACCGTACTGTGCGCCCTGGCCGCTTGCGCGGAGACCAGGCTGCTTTCCGAGGGGCGGCAAATGCACGTACGAGCCCGCCAGTTCTGGGCCGAGACCAAAGTGGGCAACGCGGTCATGGACATGTACGGAAAGTGTGGCGCGGTAGGAGAGGCCAGGTTGGTGTTTAACTCGCTGCCCGTTCGGGACGTGGTCGCGTGGACTACACTCTTGGTCGCATATGCCGCAACTGGGGATCTTGGTCAAGCAAGGCGCGTGTTTGACGAGATGCCCGACAAGAACCTCGTCTCGTGGAACTGTATGATCATGTCGTACTCCCAAGCCGGGCATTTCCAGGATGTTTTGGAGATCTTTGGTTTGATGCTCCGGAGAAATGTGGTGCCGGACGAGGGCACTTTTGTCACGGTCATCGACGCTTGCGCCAACGCCGGAGCCTTAGTCGAGGGCGAGGACATCCAGAAGCTCGCCATCCAGCATTGCACGGTCAATGGTCAACGGTTGGTCCATGGCTCACGGTCAACGCTCGGCCTCAAGATCGGTAATGCGCTTCTCTCGCTCTACACGAAGTGCAGCCGAATGGAGACGGCGCTGGAGATCTTCGAGCAGATGCCCGTGAGAAACGTTATTTCTTGGACAACGCTAATCTCCGCATATGCCCAACAAGGGCATGGCAGGGAATCTCTCAAGATTCTTCGAAAGATGGACCTTGAGGGCATCCCGCCGAACGAGGTAACCTTCGTGAGCGCGCTGGACGCGTGCGTGGCCGTCTCGGCGCTCCCCGAGGGCCGCCAGCTCCATCGCCGGTCCATCGACACGGGCATATTCGCAGTGGATGCCAAGGTCGGCAATGCGATCATCAACGTATATGGCAAGTGTGGGAGACTCGGTTCCGCCCTTTCGGTTTTCCGTGATATTCCTCGTAGAAACAGGATCTCTTGGAATGCGCTACTCGCCGCATATGCCCAGAATGGGCATTGCAGAGAAACTTTGGATCTCTTAGCGTTGATGACTCTCGAGGGTATCCAGCCGGATCAGATCACTTTCACGAGCGTACTCTCGATCTGTGCTCACGCTGGTCTGCGCCGCGAGTGCTGGAGCCAATTCGTGGCGGTGAGGTCCGATTACCGGATCACGCATGATGTGACGCACTACGTTTGCATCGTTGATCTCCTGGGACGCCTGGGCTACCTTGACGAGGCGGAGGAGCTCATCGCAGCAATGCCATTCGAGCCCACTGTGATCGTCTGGACGACGCTGCTGGCAGCATGCCGGATCCACAAGAACACAGAGCTTGCAGTCAATGCCGCCGTGCAAGCGATCGCACTGGAGCGTGGCGACCCTGCTGGACTCTACATCCTCCTCGCCAACCTCTACTTCGATGTGGGCCGAGTGGAAGAGGAAGAAGATGAAGAGCCCTAAGCGTTTGGCTACGTGGCACAAAATATACGATCCACGTGGACGCTACTTTAATCCACGCGGGGGCCACGTCGGTAAAAAACCATAGAGCTCTAGTCAACTTCATCTTTTTAGAGAAAAACAAAAAAAGAATATAAAGCAGTGCTGGCAACCATGATGGAATGCCACGCATATACCCAGAAACGCTTATTCAAATACCAACACAAAACACCACAAAGCAATACAAAACCGAAAGGAAGGAGAGGAGCCAGGACGAAAGAAAAGCAAAAGAAAGGGAAGAGAATAACAAGGAGATACACGATCACACCAGAAGACAACGGAAGCAACCAACACGAAACATACCTTTGTCTCGAGAGAGATCTATAGAGCTCGGATCGATCACCGTTATTTAGTAGGACGAGGAGGATGAGCCCATCTTCTGGCGCTTGCTAGAGCCGTAGGCCGACGTCGAGAGCTCGCTAGATCGCTCGATCACTGCCCTCAGTGCCTCTTGGACGCAGCTCACACTCGGCCGGTCACCGGTCCCATCACTGCTGGATTCCATGGCGGCGCCGCCTTGTTCGTCGCTGTGGTCCTTGCCGATGAGGATCACATTCTTGACGCGCCCACCCAGCGTCGCGATCTCGGCCTTGAGCGTCCTGAGCTTGAGCGTCCGCAGCGCCTTGGTGAGATCCGAGAGGAGGTCGGGGCGGTCCTCGCAGCACAGCGACGCCTTGAGCACGAAGTTGCCATCGCTGCTGGACGCGTCTGTGTCCACCTTGAGCTCGTCCACGTCCGTCGGGACCGGCCCGCCCTCGGCGATCTCCGCTGCCTGTCGCTTGAGATCTTTGACGTGCTCGATCACCTCGGCCAGCAGCGACGCTTTGTCTGTCTGCGCAGCAAAACACCAAGCCGTGAGCTTTTTGCTTTCACAGCAGCAACAGTACGAACGACAACGAAAGCGAAGACCATACTACCTTGGTGGTGCTCGGGAGAAGGCCCCGCAAAGTGTTGAGATGGTTGTTTATTCGCTCACGTCTCCTTCGCTCCGCTTCGCTGTGGCTCTTGGATGCTGCCAGAGCCTTTGCATCAATTATCTCTTGCGGGGTCATCTTCGACAGATTGATAAGCTCGCTCCGGTTGTGATCCAGAACAAGGGACCCCCCATTGTACTGCAGAGGGTAGTGGTGCCTGCCACGGTCCTTGTAGCTCAACCCCACTCCATAGCCGCTCGACGAGGAAGCTAGCGCCCCAGACTTGTAGAGATCGTAAGGGAGTGTCGAGAAGGGCGAGGAGGAGCCGTGTAGATCGTGGAAGCGGCCAGGAGCGGAAGAACCACCACCGCTAGCGTGCAGTAGAGAGGAGACGTGATCCTGCTTTGTGACGAACTGGCCGTGCTGCGACGATGCTGCCGCGAGCTCTGGGAATGCGGCGGTGGAAGTGGCTTGCGCTGCTGTACAGCCAGGGGCGAGAGGAGGTATCGTCCATGGCGGACGAGAGCTCGAGTGGCCCGCGGCAGTGACGAGACTAGCAGGGAGCTCCTGCTTGAGCTTGGAGAAGCCTGCGTACGTCATACCCAAGCCGGACGAGTCTACAAAGGGAAATCCCACGTCCACATTGTTCGTCGATGGGCCTCCCATGGCTGGCGTGCTCGAAACCTTCGCAAATTTCCAAGCCTCCACACCGGAATTTTCTTCTCAGCAGGGAATACGCGCGGAGATTGCAGTGCCTCCCCCTAGATCTTGATCTTGGGAGCTCGCATTCTTCTGGCTTTCTGGCGAGAAGACTCCACCATGGAGATGGGAGAGGCGCGCGATGCGATCCGACAGCCCCAGGCGTAGGAAAAAGATAGGATGAGCCGCAATATCACGAGCCTACCTTGGATTTCTCTGACGCCTACTCGCGATTTTCTTCGCTCGCATTCTTGTTCTCGGCGTGAACGCGGTCACGGTTCCAAGACCTCGGCCCGACCTGTGCCATGACCAAAGCGAATTTCGGCGATCCGGAGCCCCGACGCCGGTACTGCTGCTCCGTCTTCGTCGATTCACGGAATTCCTGTCCAGCCCGGGCTACTGCGCCGGTCGTTTGCAGCCGCCTAGCGCGTCGAATGCCACAATCTCCATGGGATCTCTCACCTGGAAGAGAAGTACTACTCGAAAACAATATCGGAAACCCTCACAAAACCCCCGTAAGATCGCAGCAGGAGGAGCAGGCTCGATGAGGCGCCTCTATCGCGAACAATCGATAGACACAGCATGAAATCGAGAGCGCAAAAACGCTCGATCGATCGAAACAGCGCCAGAGAGAGAGAGAAAGAGAGAGAGAGAGGAGACCCTAGCACCAAGCTACGGACATCGTACGCTTATATAGTGTGGCGCTTGAGCCGTCACACCTGGGGGGCTCAAAGGGCGGAGTATGCGCCATGACCCGTCAGGCGTGAGGGCGATCGTGGGGGTCTGTAAATGGGGGCCATGGCCATCATATCTCATACATTCCCATGGCCATGAACATGGGCATGGCCAGCCATGGGCATGCGCCACATGATGCCGGCGCTGCTGGTGATTTGATGTGGCATGCATGGGGGGCAGGAATTTCGCGCTCCCAAAATTTCACTTTTGACTGGCCGACTAAAGTAAAACCTATAGACGTGAAAACCAACATGTATAGAATGTGGTACATTGCACAGAAATCATTCTTTGTCACCTCCAACGGTATGTGTTCGTTACTCTCGAAGCCCTCTTTTTTTGACCTAAAAGCATCTTGATAGGATCACTAAAGAATAATATGGGAGAGCCTGAAACAACGAGAAACATCCCATCCTGTGAGGAGCAGATCATAAGATGGATGATCATTGTTTTTAGATTTTACTATAGTTTATGCGCTCCAATTATATCGTGCAAGTTAATGGATGGTTTTGATATTTTCCGCGTGACAACAGTGGCAAGTTTTCAATGGTGTTTGCTGTTTACCATGATGTATGAAACAGGGTCAAAAATCTCGCAAGGGTTTTTTTAAGCTTGATACTCGTCGCAAATCCATCGCCCTCTCGTCGTGGCCCAAAGTCTATGATTGATGCAAGCGTATACAAACTTAAATCACATGCCACTAAGGTTTATTTGATTTTGATTGCTTCAATTGTAGTGGCGATACGTGGCCCATCCACGACTTTATTTGTAAGGTTCAACCACAGAGCACCAACAAGAACAACTGTTTAGCTGATAGATAGCAAGAAAGAAGATAGCAATAGCACACAAACTATAAAACTAATCAAGCATATCGGGAAAATATTATGACGATAATCCCGTGACGGTGCATGACGTTGGACGCATAAAATCTCCATTCTAGCAGGATCAAAGAAATTATCCATCCACGCATTTCCGGATCAAATCCAGCGTGGAAAATTAAAGGTAGGAATCGAGATCATCCTTGTGATTTTTTACCACGGTAAAAAATCGCGGAGCGAGCTAACTACACACAGGAGGAAAATCTAAAACAAGATTTGCCAAGTCAGAAGTAAGTTGGCCGTAAGAAATTGGCAGCCTCATTATACCTTTGTCAGAGCAGTGTCCCCCATGTATGCATTGCTCCCTTTAGCCATGGCCCATGGAGCCATGACCATGGCCACCAAAAGTGGTCAGTGGACCGGCCGGCGTACGGCCGCCGCATGCACTGCTGGTGATGGTGACGGGTTCGATTCCCTGCAACGGCGCTGGAATAGGACGACGGTCACAGGCTCGAATCTCGCTCTCGCTCTCTCTCTCTCTCTCTCTCTCTCTCTCTCTCTCTCTCTCTCTTGCGGAAGAATTTATTTGCAAAGTACACGCTTGGCCTGACTCGCCGAAACGAAGCGAGCGGGCGAGTCAAAGACTCGCTTGTCACGGATCGAGAGATTTGGACGTGGACTCGTTTGTTTGGTTGTTTGCTACACTGCTGCGCTCTTGGCTGCTTCCAGCTCCAGCTCCTGCAGCTCTTGGCGAGAGATTTCCAGACTGCGAGGCAAGGCCTCCGCGCACGTCCCTTGGAATCTATACCTGTTGCGGAAGTGACAGGAAAACCAAAGCTCGTGAATTCATGAATGAAATGAAAGACAGCGAAGCTTAAGCGAGCAAAGAGACTGCTAAGAAACCGAGAAGGCAAACAGAACAGAAGCAAGGACACTGAGAATGAGGAAAGAACCTGCCTGCAGTATCGGCTCGCAGGTGTCTCCTCGAGGTTGAATTCCGCAACCGCGCCGCCGCCACCTTTCACAAGCGGAATAAACCCGGCTGCTGGCTGCGAGCGACAAAAATGTTCTTACAATGCAGGAAATGCAGGAAAAAAAGGTGGCGGTCGAAAAGATTGATCATGACAGACATGCGCAAAAGGCCAGCGGAGAAAAGGAAAACAGAGGACACAAAAAGCTTCAGATTCAGGATTCAGGATCCTTCCAGGAACCAAAAGTGATGCGATTGCGAGAAGGCCGACAGGAGTACCTGGACGACAGCGGAAGTTCCAGCAACGAGCAGCAGGTCGCAGCGGCGGAGTGATTCGTGAGCACGCTCCATGACACCGAGATCAAGAGATTCCCCGAACCACACAACATGCGGCCTCAGTAATCCATTGCATGACCTGCAGCGCGGGAGCTGTAGTCTCGGAATGTTGGCGTCGTAAGCTGATGGATCTGGACACCCCTGCTCTAGAGAAGGCCAAAAATGAGAAGAAGAAACACGAGAAGACGTTCCGTATCAAAAGCAGGAAAGAAAAAAGAAAAAAAGCCAAAGAAAAAAAGGATTTTGAGGAGGTTTTACCTTTCCATCGAGAGCTGCACAGATTGGCATGTCGAAGTTTTGCAGCACTTGGTCGCAGGTGCAGCAGCGGGTCTTCCACATCGAGCCGTGGAGTTCTTCCACGGATTTTGTGCCTGCGCGACTATGCAGTCCATCTACGTTCTAAAGAAACGAAAAACAAGAAAAAGGATTCCATTTTAGCGAAGAACGTCGAGAAAAAGCAAGCTGGAATTCTAAGAAGAAATGCGAAGGTCGTCGAGAAGAACAAAGGTGGAATTCTACAAGAAATGCGAAGAACGTCGAGCTGGAGTTTTAAGAAAAAAAAAATCACCTGTGTCAAAAGCTTGAACTCCTTCCCTTGTTGCTCGCATCTCTTCTCCAGCGCTGTTATTGCATAGTGTCCGGCGTTTGGCACAGCCTTGGACACAATACAGCTATAATCAAACACCATCTGGCTAGTTAAAACTTCACAGAACCAAAAAAAGAAAAAAAAAAAAAATGGAACGAAAAAAAAGAGGACGAAACGAGCTAAAACTTTAAGACTCACCGCCGGTAGTGGTAAAACTCCCACACCATTGAAGGATTCGCCGCAAAGGCTTCCGGAGTCGTGAGCTAAGCAGGAAAAATTCAAGCAGCACATTAACAAAACCACCCAAGGAAAAATAGAGAAAACAAAAATAACGCACCATGGCACTCCATTCTCGCCATTCTTTGAAGGTCGGGACCCCAGATTCCGCGGATATCCCTGCACCGGTGAGAACCGTGACTTTCTACATCACCGAAGATGCCAAGTTCTTTCATTTGTTCTTTTCGATCTAGTCTAGTCTTACCTTTGATTTGTCCAGCGCGATCGCGAATTCGCGAGCTCCTTTGTCATCGCTCATCGATCGGCCCTTCTGGATCCGGCCAGATGCTCTTAGATTCCGCGATAGCGAGCGAAACATAACCTAGGCCTTTGTTATGCTTGGCATTTTGATTTAGGGTTATTGGGCGAGGGTAGGGTAGCATAAGCTAGATCGAGGAGGAGATAAGAGGGCATGGCGGTCACGACCAAGGGCGCGGCGCTGGAATCTTGCTCGGTGTGCCTGGAGCAAGTCAGCGATGTCGGGGAGAGATCGTTCGCGAAGCTCAAATGCGGTCACTATTTCCATCTAGGTATGCCAAAAGCCCTCTTTCGCTGGATTTGTGATCTTCTTGTTTTCTCCAGATTGTATCGGCTCGGCCTTCAATGCCAAGGGATCTATGCAATGCCCGAATTGCCGGCGCGTCGAGGAGGGGCGGTGGCTCTATGCTTCTGGATGCCGCCAGCACGAGGATTTCGCCTTTGTGGATCTGCCGTCCAGCGACGAGGAGTATGATGTCTACGCAGGCATGGCGGATTATCACGAGCTGGTATGAAGAGAGAGAAAAAAAATCTTTTTCCTTTCGTGGTTCGTACTGATCTTGGTTTGTTTGTCTCGCAGCACTTACGCCATTTCCAATGGTGTCCATATCAGAGCTTTCTCAGCTTGGAGTAAGTATCCTGGATCTCTCAGGATTGATTATAACTGTGCTCTTTCCGTTTGTTCTCAGGGAAATCGATCCTTTAGTAACTGGATGTAAGTGCTCGTTTCATCCAGTGTTCTAGTGACTGAGAGAACGTTTTGTTTTTTCTCTTGCAGATTCAGATCCCAACGTTGTTGTCAACGTTTTGTATGGAGAGAACCATCCCGCGGCCCCGACGAACAGCAACACACACCACGTATGTCCTTTCTTTTCCCCCGCGCAGTCCTACTGGGGGGCGGCAACGCGACAGATTGTAGATGAACTGGTTGTAGTGCAAAACCAAGTAGAGCCCCCGAGTGTTGGTGGTGGTGGTGGTGGAGGGGGCTCCATAGGTGGGACTATCAGAGGGCCACACTCATTTCCAGTCCATGAAAGAACTGGATGGGCTTCTCAATCTGGTGGTGCACACAATCCAGTTGGTATGATGAATGATGTTGGACTTGCAAGCTTACCTATTGAGCGTTTCAGGTGGTCTGCTCCTGCAAACCGCAGTGATGCTGTGCAGCCTGGTTACTCTGGGTAAGTTCACCAGAAAAGGCAGTTTTTTCTTTGCGTGCTAACGTTTTTTTCTGTTTTTTTCCTGACAGGCAGCTCAGATCTCCTGAAAACAATGCAACATCATGGCATCACGTCCCGTGTCCTCACCACGGGCTAGCCTCCACCAATGTGTCCTCGTCGCCGGCTTATGCCCATGGGAACGGGCCGTCGAGAAGATCAAGACATTGGGCCCATGGAACATCGTCGTCCACAGGCCGAGTTGGAGCTGGATCGAGAGTGGCTTCTCCGAGAGAGCAGCGAGAGAGCCACCACCGAGAGTGGCAGCGCAGAAGAGAGTCCCCGGGCTATGAAACTATGGTGGATGCGTCGTCACACTGGCGTCCTTGGTTCCAGTCGGGCAGCAGTGGGAGCAACTTCTCATCGGAGCTCAGAGCGGCGGCAGCGTCTGGAAGCGTTCGAGCGGATGTTTATGGTCCGAGTGATGGTTTCCAGGGGCAGCATTACTACTACAGCCAGTCGTATGCTCCTCCAGGGGACGAAGCGCGTCACCAACAGCACCACCACCACCACCACCATGCACGGTGAATGAAGATATATATAACACGGATATTAAGTGATTCTGGTTCAAGTAAATAAAGTAAATAATTTTGGCAAAGAAAGAATGCACGCACTTTTAAGTTAAAACTTTTAAATTAGAGGATCTTAACCTAATTTAAAATTTTAATGCTATTCTTCAACATTAGTTAATAGTAGCATTTACTCATTTTAAAAAGTCTTTAACTAATGAAAATCCGTTCACATAACCATTATTACACTTCGTTCCATTAGAAATATTAGGTCAAAATATACGTAAGGAATATTCTTTGTGTGGCCACCACAACTCCCAATGCTAATTGATTGATGGCCAGGAACTGGAGTCCCTAACAACTCTAGTAGCACAAGGATTGATTGATTTCACAACTTGAGAGCTTAATGATTGATTGATTGGCACATTGACAGCGCCCTTCGATCCTGGCATCATCTTGCGTGCAAAAGAAATTCTCCACCACTTGCCCTAAAGAATATTCTTGAATATTTTAATTCTAATGCTAGGATTTTAAGGAAAAATACAAAGGAAATGCTAATGTTACCATTCAGCTAGTTTAATGTAATTTCTGGTCTGAACAAATTACCATTGAGTTAAACTATTAAATTAGAATTTGCAAAATCTAATGTAATACTGTGGTGGTGTGAACACATTATAATTAAATTAATTAATTTAATGGTGGGTGTGAAACCCCCTTAATTGCACAATTGTAAGCTTGGACTTCTTCATTGTTTCCCGAGTTCAATAATCAGCTAGACTACCATAGTGTTTGCAATAATGAATTGGCAGTGAGCAAGGTGGCAAATCTTGGGATGGGGAGAATATTGCTTTTCCTCCATGATGCCTCACTGTCCAAGATTGCAAGGTAGATCAACTTATAGGTGTCAATGGTCAGGCAACAAGATCTTAGCCCTCTTCTTTTCCAAGACTATCACAAAGTACATATGTTGGAGTTTTGATAAAAAATACTACAAACATATTGAGAAGTGGCAGCCAAAATGGAAGACTCTAGCTATACCTTTCACTTTTTTCTTTTTTTCCATTATAGGAGAGTAAGGATCTAGTTTCTTAAAACTCAAGTAGTGGTGATGTTTTCCTCCCTTCGACAGTCCTTTACATCACAAGCAAGCAAAAGCTTTACCCTCATCTTGCAAATCAACAAATGTGAATGAAGGGACTGAAGTATATATCTAAAATATACTTAGATATTTTGATCTAAACTCTAGCAATTGTTATTTATTTATATTATTGAGGTTTAGACCCCTACACCAGATTCAGTCCAAAATAAATAATCTATATGCTATAGTACCATAATTAGTGTATTACCTAGAGTAATGTATATATATATATATATAGACACATACATGTATTTACAAACCTTACAAATTTAACATTTTGCAACATAAATATTTATAAAAACAATCTTCTTAATCTTGAAAATGCTATTAATTTTCACCACGGGCTTGAAGCCTGAATCGTTCCCGCATGTTCATCATCTTCCTCTTCTCACCAAACTAGGGCTATTTTTTGTGCGTCTTATTCCGACTCCAAGAATTCCCAATGCAGATGTAGACAATGTAGGCTTGAAGTGCAGGATTTAGAACTGGGAAGATGGCGAATCAAGGTGAGACGGCTGTGTACAAATTCTAACAGAGTAGTAGGACTGCAGCTCCCGCTTCCGGATTTGCACTTAGCAAGCAGGAAATCAAAACTTCTTACAGGAAACTTGCTTGAGAGGTGTGATTTTCCTCCTTTGTAATTCACGAGCTTGTAGTTTGCTAGCTTCTTTGTTTTTCAGTTTCATCCAAACATAAACAAGGAGTCCAATGCAGAGGAAAAATTCAAGGAGATCACTACTGCGTACGAGATAAGAATTTGCATTTCTTTCAATTCCATGAAGATCATTCCCATGTAGGTGCTCTCGGATGATGAAAACCAAGCCATCAAGAGGAGGGCCAACTTCCACGGTAAGGCATCAATTTTCGATTGATAGAGATGATCTAGAGTTTCTTTTTGTGCGCAGGATAGTCCATTCATATTTTTGACTCGTTTTTAAAAGACGGAGCAGATTTGAAAGGCGCAGATTGATCTGGAGTTCAAGGAAACGATCTCAGGTATGATCCAACTTACAAAAAGATCTTCTTTTTTTTTTTTGATTTTATTATTTTTTCTCGTGACAATGCTTCTGCAGGAGCCTTGACCTCAAAGAAGCGGTTTTTGGAGTGGAAAAACAGTTTGACATATGGCATGTGGAAAGCTGCGAGGCATGTAAGGGAACTAGCGCCAGAAGTAAGAGCACAAAGAGATATCGAGTCTGTGGAGGAATGGGTGAAGTTATGCGGACACAAGAAACAGTCTTCGGGATGTTCTCACAGGTTAGCAATTCTTCGATGACTTTTGACTCTATTTTATTTTTCTCACAGGTGAGGGACAAGTGGAGTGTTCCGTGTCAGTGCGAGCACTCTCCATGTTGCCAGTGGACTCGCTTGTTCTATGTAGTTTCTCTGTGACTGACATTGTGCTCTCTCGGTGGTCCATCCGGTGATCTCTACGTCAATCTTAAAATCAGAGACATGCCTAGAATTCGAAGAGACGATCTTTACTCCGATATCTCGGTGAGCTCAGAATGTATACTGGGGCCAGGGTGGCAGTGAGTTCATGGTGGATGCATTTCTAGTCCGATAGCAGTGGGAGCAACTTATCGTCGGAGCTCAGAGCGGTAGAAGCATTCGAGCGGATGTTTATGGCCCGAGTGATGGTTTCCAGCAGCATTACTACCACAGCCAGTCGTATGCTCCTCCAGGGGACGAAGTGCGCCACCACCACCACCGTCAGCAGCAGTATACCTGTTGAGCTTGGCAAGCTTACCAGCTTGGAAACGCTGAAAATTTGAGGACGTGAGCCCGTCTGTGCTACTAGAGAAAGAAGCATACTCCATGTCCTTGTAGAACCCAAGCTTTGCAAGAGCCTCCTGCGAAAGATGGCAATGGTTTAGAAATACTTCAAGGAAGAAAGAAAATGAAACGAAAAGTGTGCTGGACGCAAAAACTATTGAACAAACAAAAGGAAAGCACGTACATCAAAGCTGCAGGACAAATCCCCGACAACGCTCAGAGTGTTGGACCTGTCCCAAAACGCGGTCCCATTCCCAGCTCCTTTGACCAGTTCTCTTCCCTGGAAGATCTAGCACTGGAGTTACGGGACAAATGCCAAGCTCTCTTGGCCAACTTCGCAGACTTGTCCTCGACAGAGCAGCTGTGTTCCTGAATCTATAGGACTTCTTTTCAATCTAGACGTCTTTTGGGCCTCCCAAGACTCACAGGCCTTTCGGTGAACAACCTCACTGGACTTCCTACCAACATGGCCAAGCTTGTCAACTTGAACGCTGTCTACTTAGACAACAATGACATTAGAAGCTTTGACACCATCTCTGGCCCGGAGCTCTCAACCATCTCTCTCAGTCGCTGCAAGCTCCAAGGACTGATACCCTCCTAGTTTAACCTCAAGCAGCAGCCCCTGGGACCTTCATGTTTCATCCCAAATCCATTACTGGAACTGTAACCACTGCTCTTGGACAGCTTTGGAAAAACTCTCCCCTGACTTGAACTTTGTGCCATGGATCTAGAGAGACTATCATGGAGGGTCTAGGACCACAATCACAACATATCACGATGACTTTGTTGCTTGGTTATTGAAGTGAGTTCCAAGGAGCATTGAAGTTGCCACTTTGTGGAAGACTTTGGACTTTAGCAGCAAGATATACCATCTAAATGCCTCTCTAGGGAAGGGGGAGGAGGAGGACAGCATCACCATTACTTAAATTTAAAGTACAAATCTTTTGAATCTTTTATTTCACCTTATTTATCTATTTATATAATGCTTTGGATATCTTAAATCTTTTGTTTCGCCTTTGTTTATCTATTTACATGGTGTTTTTATCCAACGCACTGGGCTAGTGCATCTTCTTGCTTTATCATAGAAGTTTGAAGTCTTTTGAAAATTGGTGACTTCAAGTACCAATAAACAAACAAAAGTATAGAGAATAAAGCCATCTAGAATATGTTTATAATTAAAACCAACATGATTGGAATTTTAATCCCTCGATGATAATTTTGGATTGCTAGCAAAGTTTTTTGGATCCATGCCATAAAGTCCAAGTCTGAATATGGGATGAGATATGAAAATTCCATGCATAACTGGAAAAATCCTATGAACAATTATAACAATAAAGATATAGTATCTTTTTCCTTTTTTTTTTTTGCTTTATAATACTGTGTATAAAAGTCCTCTTAATTGATTAATTTCATTAAAAGTATAAAGATAAATTATATATGGATTTCTCTCCTTATCTACCAATTTACATAGTTATGTAAAAAAAAATTATGTGACATAAAAAATAAACCATTCTATTAATATTCATTCTAATATTTATTTTTTTATTTTCTTTTTGTAGTCCTAAAACACAAAAACTATATCTTGTGAAGTTAATATATTTAAGTAAATTTACAAAAGTTTGTTTGGTACCCAAAGACAAATATTTTTTCAAAAGACATTTCATTGAATTAATGTTATATAGTAACAAAAAGCTATAAAAAAAAGTAGTATATTTGTTACACAAAAAAAAAGGTAGCTAGTGCCTATTGTGTTGACTATAACAATGGAAAATTCCATTATGTGCATAACAATGATAAACAAAAAATTTTGCATGATAAATTGAAAAAAACTGTATAATATCAAAAACTCAATTTTTACCAAGGGATTCGCTACATTTAAACTAAAAGATAAAAGAGTCCTAAAACTTTTGAATGTAATTTTTCATGTGGAATAAAAACACAATATAAATAAATAAACAAGGTGAAGTAAAATATTTATACTTTATAATTATTTGAGGAATCTAATCTTTTAAAAACTCAAATAGTGATGATATTATTTTTATTCTCCTCCTTTAAAAAATTTTCATATCACAAGTTAAATTTAGAAACTTTAAGACTTATTTAGCAAATCCTATAGCAAATATTAAGTATTTGATGTTATACAAAAATTTTAGTTTGTCATTTTTATGTACATTTATTT